CTCAAAGAAACACACAGATAGCAAACCTATTAGGAATGCTCAATAAGAAAATATTTCTCACTTTTACAAATTGAAATTAAATGATTAAATGAGGAGCAAATGTTCTTATTAAGAATGTACAAAGAAGCAAGGAAAGGAAATTGTATAATACAAACCATTTGGTTCTTTCATCTTCCAGTGTCTATTTGACTAAATGTTTGCATATTGTTTGCTGGCATAAAAAACAGTAGATACTTTGTAAAGATATAAATACCAGAGTATTGGCATTTAACAGAAGAGCTGTGGGAAATAAATAGTAACCTTAGAGCTTGTTACACTCTTACAGGCATGTAAAGTTAGAGAACATGTCAGTGACTATGAATTAATTGCCCCTAACAAGGACGAGACACATAAAATCTGCTCTGGTGTGGAACATCCACATTCCGTGGTCCAGCTGAGTGCTCAACACTTACAGGTATTAATACAGTTGCATATTATTCAATAAAACAGGAAAACAGTTTTATCTTTGCTCAGTCTAGTGTCACATTTGTCAAAGGGCACCCCTGCATGAGGTCTTACCTGCACAAGACTTTTCAGTTCTATTAAATGTGAAGACATCCTCACAAGTTTAACAAGTAATTAACTTCTCATCTTTAGTGAAAACCTTTGTCCGTTTCCTTTCAGTAATTTTAGGATTTGTTAGGGTTTGGGTCAGCTCTTCAGCCTCCAAGTGAAAAACTCTTCCAGTTTTCTGTAGCTTTTTCCATGTTTGACACTGTCCTGTTCTCATGAGCTGTTTGCCAGTGCCTCCAGCCTTGCTCCAGGAATTCCTTTGCACTGGTGGCACGGTGGCTGAGCAGCCACACAGTGGTTCCACCATCCTTGCAGGACGTTAAACACTCAGCGTGCCAGATTAGTAATTTTATGTTGCATTTCACGTAACTATTCCGCCTGTGGAAACGGAGTGAGTGCTCCATCCATGGACACACAGATTACACAGACTGCCTGAGTCATCCAACAGCCTGGGAGAGGCAAAGGCTGCAATTTCAGACACAGGGATAATTTCAGATCTTGCCGAGGGAAACAATGTGAAATCTATTTGCCAAAATGAGTAATGGAGCTCTAAATACTGATTACAGTTCACAAATCTACCTTAGATTGTATGATTATACTTGAAATTGTATTCTGTGTTCGATTCACAGCAGTATTTTTATCCAAATAATTTATTACTAAACATAAAGGTAAAATACACACCAGTAAAACTATATGTAGAGTAAACATTCGACATTTTTCTAAGGTTTTTTTTTTTACTGCACTTTTACTGCAGCAGTTACAGCTGTGTTTATGTGTGTGCTTGTTTTTCAGGAAAGTATTCAAGGAACAAGAAAGTGTTTGGTTTGTTTAACATTAGTGAGCATTTCATAAGTAGAAGTAGATGAGAATGTGGTAGCCACTGTTAAATTCGTTGTGCATTACTTCAAAGTGTTGATATATGCTCAGGAAGGGACGTGGGGAACTACCTCTATTTAAGAAACTGGACTTCAGAACATATCACAGCTCTGTCTCATCTGAACTCCTGTAGCAGCGGAACAGAACTTTCCAAATTCCTTATTCAAACTGAGAAAACATCTACACTAGATTGAAAAGCATCTACTGACAGAAAATCCTGTGTTTCACTAAAATACATTGTCCTGAGTGCATGTTTTGGCAAACTAGAGTAAGAAAAGCTGCTTTTTAACATATTGGAACAAGGGCAGAGAAGCTTCCAGCTCCTGACACACATACCCTGAGATTACATATCACAGACACAAAGAGAAACCAGACAGGGTCTCTTCTAAAATCACAGAGCTGAGTTCGTGCATTCAGCAAGTCTTTGCAAATTGTCAGACTATAACTGGGAAGCTTTTCTTTGCCATGAAAAATAGTGCACTTTCCTCAGAAAATGCTACTTTTTACTGTTGCTCATTGGACTTATGTGTTGGAGTAGTAATTTCAAAAGCAAGTCTTTTACAGATTGCTCCCACAGTGAAAACATAGCTCCACCTGCTAACATTTGAGTGCCACTAGTATGGAAATACATTAAATTGAGCATCAATCTATTCTTTAGTCTTTTTATAAACTCAACAGTTTCTTAGAGTTTGTATAGCTGCTACTGTCATTTTTTTAAAAATAAACTACATTAAATTTATATTTTAGTACCAGCTAGTACTCATACTGAATCAGCACATTACTACTGTCATCACAAGTAGTAAGAGTAGTTGTAAGATGTATTTGTTAAAACTGTCAGTCTAAAATAGTTTCATATTTAGTTTATATTTAGTCTAATTCTTCGAGCTCTTTCATCAAAAAAAAGGGCATAAAAAGACTAGAGGGTATTAAACAAGTGATTCTGCCACTGAATCTCCATTTTTCTTTAGACACATCCTGAGCCCAAATTTCGTGTTAGACATGAATTAGGTGAACAATTAGATGTTAAATTCCTGTTCTTGGACATAATTGAAACCAAAAGTGTGAGTCTCGAAAACTCCCCTGTGCATTAATTGCAAATATCCATTAAAAATTATTATGAAGATGTTATAAGTGCTTTAACACCTTGGAGCTGCACCCTCTGAGAGAGAGAAGAACTTATATCAATTAAGAAACCTGACTGAAGTACTGAAAATACTGATCACTAAAAATAGTGATCTGTTCTATGAGAATGGAATATTAAATATTTCAAGCATCACCCCATTGACATCCTAAAATTTGCCAGTATAAACACTTCCCCTTAAGTTCTTCACAGACTGATCATTTAGTACCACCATTCTTTAATCTGTTTTAGTAACAATTACTTCAAAGCCCCAGGGGAGTGTGGTACAGTCTAGCAGAAAGGGTTATTATTCTACATGTGAGGGAGTCCAGTAATATCAACATGAAATGATGTCTTTGCAATAGAGAATTATTCACTGATAACAGTGTGCTCAGCATAAGACCAGACAACTAAGATACTGTGTCCACTTTCAGTACTGTAGCAAAAAAGTTTCTAATGGTAACTGGCAGCTTCTCAGCAGCACATTAAAAATACAACTGAAAGTAAATCGAGCACATGAGAGAATTAAAGGGGAAGGCTGAAATGTAGACCTTTGACAAAGAAAATAGAGGGTCAATTTTAAATTACTGTGGAATTGTTGGCAAATACGTATCAGTTATTGCAAATTAAACAATCAAATTCCCCAAATGCAAAAATTTTAAATGGTAGAGATACATGCTGTACATGCTTGGAGTAAACTTATTTTTGAAGTCAGGAGCATCCTACAATGAAGTAATCTAACTTCTAATTTAAAAAACAAACAAAGAAACAAACAAACAACAACAAAGAAATAAAAATCCACCCCTGAGTATATACATGAACCAAACTGTCATCCCTGAACATTCTAAATTTAAAATCCCATTTGAAAAAGATATTCAAGGTAAAAGTTAAAATAAGTATGGAGAATCAAACAAAATAGCTGTTCTTACCTTAACAACAGTGCAAAGTTTTTTGAGGCTTATATAAGGAATTGGTAACTTCAAAAGCTGTTTTTGAAGTAATCAGCTTTAATATAATTGCATTTTCAGTCATTTGATGGGTTGAAAACAGATCAGAGACTAGGATGCAACTGGCTTGGCACAGCCACAACCTCCAGATTCTCACATTCAGCCACACACCAACCCCATCCTCCAGGGTCGCTCTGGGAATAAGCCAAAACATTGTTTGCAATATTTTCAGACTACAGACTGTTCATGTACAAATACAACTACCAGCCATTTTAAGAAATTAATCTAAGCACAGGGAAATCTAATTTTTCACACTTTGGCTGAATGTTTTCAATATGGCATTTATGAATAATGTGTTCCATACGAGTTCATGTTGAGCTCAGACTGACTTGTGATCTGCTATAGTGTTCATGGAAGCACATGGCTGCCAACAATTAATTCTGCTGGAAAAGGAGTATTTTTTTTAAAAGAGCTTCCTGCATACCTATTAAAGCAAATAGGACATCCTAATTATGAATATATTGCCCCTATAAACCTCAGTCTAACCCACCATCCACTGCTCCTCGTGCAATGAACGTGTGGCAGTATTTCTGTGAAGCACACATGGAGCGTTACTTCAGTGTGAGTCTAATGCTGCAACAGTGCAATACAGGCAAGCAAATGTTTATTCAGTTACTAAATGCACTGTGGAGTAACTTGAGGAATCTTCCTCAATGTACACATCTGCTCAGCTGGCAGTAGTCTAAACATTTCAGAAGCCAAGAACTTTTGATTACCAAGAGTCTCCTTGCGTATGCTCTGACACTGAATCGCAGAGGACATTTTTGTCTGCATTACGTTTACCAGGATTTTAAGAGAGAGAACACATCCAGGGTACCAGACATTTTCTGGGCACCATGACAGAACTCAAAGGTCTAAAGAAAGAAAGAGTTACATTTACTTTTTCCCACAGTCACCGAAAGTTTTAGCTTTCTATCTCTCTCTTGGTTTTACCACTGGATCAGTAGTTAAATTTAGTCCTCCATCTAAATCACCTGAAGCTTTTAGCTTCAAATCACAAGCTCAAAATTGAGACCAAGACAGGCTGTTGCACCCCCAGCAATCTCAATTTTACATGGGATTAATTCATTCTCTCTTACCTGTGCCCATTCAAATCCATGCTTTAGGGACATTCACACTCCCTCCTTAGCCTACACTACACAACTACCTTTATCTGTTTGTCTACCAGCAACTTCCAATACCCTGTGCTGTAATCCTGTGCATTCTGACATCAGTTAACACTTCTCACCCATAAATGCTTGAGATGAATTTGAAAATGATTACAGTTTTAACCTGCTTTCTGATGCGAGCAACGAAGCGCTCCATCACCACAGATAAATTAGCACTGTCAAGTGTAAGTTCCAGCCAAATAAGCCCATTCTCATTCCTCTGCAAGGGCAGGGTGCCAGCTCACCTACCTCAGTTGCTGCTGAGCCAGACCTCCCTCATGTTTTTTCCACATCATTTCTTCAGATACTCACGTGTTCAGGCCCACACTCCTTTCCTCAACACCAACGACAAAATTCCCTCACTTTCTTAATTCAGTTCCTCACTTCCTTCAACCCCTACTTCCAGCACTTCTATATATTGCTGCTTGTTGGTTCCTACACCCTCCTCAGCGTCTCCCCCTCAGCTCCGTCCCCTCAGAGCCTGCGGTGGCCTCAACCCGAGCAGGGACAGCCCACGCTGGGCACTGCCCGCCACAGCAAAGCCCCTGAGCGGCTGCCGAAGAAAATGTTCCACAGCGCGACTTGACCGCAAGGTAATGTTTTTTAAAGGCTGCTTTACACCATCGAGAGGCAAGAGCAAGAACGCTGAGGGCGGTGAAGCCCCCGGCCCCTCACGGCTCGCAGGGACGGGAGGAGGGGACGGGCGGCGCCGCCACCGCCCGGCCCTGAGGGGAGCGGGGCGGGGCAGCACCGGAGGGCGAGAGGCGCTGGGACAAAGCCGTCAGGGACACGGTGGGATTCCTGGGGTGTCCTGGAGTTCTATTCGATGGTCCTGGTGGGTCCAGCTCAGGATATTCTGCGATTCAATGACCTCTGGAGTCAGTAACAGCACACAAACCGCCAGGGAGCAGGAACCCAGGAATCCCCAGAGCCATCACAACTAGCGATGACAGCTCTGCTTTTCAGAAACAAATTCTAGGCACATATTTTAAACACACATTATGAAACAAATGTGGATCTAATTTAAGAAGCTACATTCTTTCCCTTCTAGAATTAATGATTTCACTTCAAGTACAGGGAAGAGAACCAAACCCCACAGAATGAGGAGGTTTGATGTGGTATCAGCGGGGCCAGTCCCTGCTTAGGACACCACCTCTGACACACTGACACCTGTCAACCCAAACTTAGTATTAAAAATAGCATAGCCCCGCAGCCAGCACATTTTAGTAGCTTACCCAGGTGCTCACTGGTAAAAATCAAGCACACGTAAGGACTAGGAAAGGGAAAAGCACTATTTTCTTCAGAGGATTTAATTACAGATAGAGATAAGTAACATCCAGCTCCGCAAAATGACAATTGAGGAGGGGAGTAGAAGTAGTGGGTATATCTATTACCTTTTGTAGTTTACAGAAGTATGTACACTGTCTGATTTGAAGAAACAAGCTTTTAAGGGATTGTAATACAATTAAGACTTGTATTTTCCCTGCAGGTACCTTAAGTGTTGCTTTTCAGGAATGAAGAAGATCCTAACAACCTTGGGGTGAAGACTCCACGTGGATTCTCTGTGACAACGTGGGCCTCCATCTCTTGAGCAGACTCCCTTGCCTCTTAACCTGTACTTCTGACAATCCCTTTAAATGTTTTTGTATCCTTTTGTCATCACGGCTCTAAGCTCCATTCCAAATCATGTGATGTCAGTTCTTTTGGATATATAGTTAATAACACCCTCCAACATTTGCACAGAACACCATATAAATGACCTGAATCATCCCCATGAGGACTTTATACAACGTCTATTAAGTGTTGCATATATTATGAGAGCTAAATTTGCAATTGGTTTGGATACTCAAGATGAAAGTGATTTAAGTATTTAGTCCTAAGGTCACGAGTCTTGGGGAAGAAAAGTCTCTGGATCCTTGAGAGTGCAAGAGTTCAGTTACTAATTTTCCCTTGCATCACTAATAAGAGTCTTCTTTCCCATATTTTAGTGTGAGAATGTGATGATACGGCTGCTATTAAAAAACCAAATTAATTATACTACTTCTGGGAGTATTCCAAGGTTAGAAATATAACATCTCACATTTAACATCTTTAAATTATTTTTCCCTTTGCAATGCAAGTTCACAGTAATTTAAAACCCCATGAATTTTGGCATAGCTTTAAACAGGTTACTGCATTGTTTAAATGACAGTGGCTCCTACTCTAATGTAAATATAATCTCATGAAGTCTTCTTGATATTCCACTCTCCACAGCAATGGTTTTGATTGTTTGATAATTTGTAGAACTCTCTTCTTTTGTTTTCATGTCTTCAAGGGAAACACACGGCAATTTAAGACTTGTGACATTAAGCTTGCTTTTCTTGGTTACATTTCACAAATATCTTGAAAGTAGTCCATGGATCAAGAGGGTCTGCTAATCACAGGCTGTCAAAAAATTGTTATATTCTGAAGAAGAAAAAAAAAAAAGATTTCACTAAAAACATTTCAGAAGCTAATAAATAAAAACAAACGAGTTCCTAAGAAAATGTCTTTAATTTTCATTTTATGGAAATACATACTTTGTTTTTATTTCCATGATACAAAAAAGTTAAATATCAAACATTTTCTGAAATCTATCAATGCAGGTCCTTTTTTAAACAAATAAAGGGCTGGTGCAGTTAGCAGGTTTATCACAAAAAACATTTTTACAAAAGCCCCACAAGCTGGGGAAGAAGAAGGAGGGAAGAAACAAACCAGAATTTAAAGGCGAAAACAGCAACAGACGTGAAAACAAAGAAAAATTACCTCCCACCAGGAAATTAATGTTTGAGAAACTTTTAAGTTACAGTTTTTTGAAAGGGTAAGGTATGTGTAAAGCTGGCATTTAGATGAATACCATCTGCACAGGGGGTGGGGGTAGAGAACAGAAATTCAAAAGATATTTCCAGATAAAGTAAGTGGTAGAAAGCAATATGTGAAACTGCAGTTCTACCTGTTTCCAGAATGCTGACAGCAAACTGATACTGCCTGGAAAAACAGCTAAATATGAGGAGATTCGTGGTAACTCCCCCCAAGCACAGGAGACAGCCTAGCATGAAATCATGGAGTGCCAGTTGGTTTTGGACAGTTCAGAGCCAGCATGCCAAAGGAGGTGACCAAAATACAGTTAGTCTTGCTTCTTAAATCTACCATTGGTTACGACAGCAAGGATTTCACATGATCAACAACGAGTCATATACTGGTTAATATACACACAAGCAAAACTGACAGTGATTGTTCAATAAACAGTTTAAAATAATTAAACTGATTTTCAGGACACGGACTGCTTTGTTAACACCACTTTATTTAAATAAAGTATGGCTTCCAAGAGGTGTATTCTCTCAACTGCTTTCAATCAATTCCACTTGTTAAGGCAGTTGTTTCCTACCATGTTTCAGGGACTTCAAAAATTCCAGTGGAACTAGTGGTGAGGCTTCCTAAAAGACAGTCATGGGACAAAAATTAAATCAAGAATTTTTTTGTTCTTTCAGAGCACATTAAGACATATTTTCTCCAGTAGAGTGAGGTTCTAGATACATTACTGGCAAGTCAATACTGACAAAGAAAAACCAAGAGAGTGTTTATGAATAAGCACTTAAAAAAAAAAAAGGGGGTTGGGGGGAATGAAGGTTAATATCAGGTTTCTTATCCAAACAGTAAATACTACATTTTTAATCCAAGTAATTAAGTAATTTTGGTTTTGCAATAACTGGGATGATAAAGTTAAATAATACTATTTTTCTCATGTGTACTTGTAGTTATTTTTGTTCAAAGCAGTTAAGACAGTGAAGAATATTTCCAGCCCAAATTAATTGGAGAATAAAGACGAATCACACTAATACTGATAATGCATATTTCCATAATGCCAAATCCAGAGCCTGAATTTTATACTTGGAATTACAGTAGACACTCCTGTCATTTTGCATATGCTTACATGGCCCAACTGCCCTCTTAAACTGCAAGAAGAAAGCAATTTCCAAGCACAGCTTTTGAATCAGCTACGAAAGATTTTACTCTGCCAAATCAGGAGAAAGGATGCTTAGTATACAATACCACTTTCTGGATAAAAGTTGCTAATGCAGATATATAAATGAAGTTTTATCTATGAATATTTGAATATATTTCAATACAGGGAGTGCTCTAGATGACTAACAACACTGAGTAATCTTGAATAGAAAGTCACATTAAAAAAATATTAAGAATAGCTAAAAAAATACTCAGAGTTTTATCTCAAGAAAGAAAGTAAGCAAGTAATAAATCAGCTACATTCTGCTTCATTTGGTTGGTCTTGGGTGGGGTTTTGGTTGTTTGTGGGTTCTCTGGTTTTGTTTTGGTTTTGTTGTTTGTTTTTCCCAATTTTTGTATAATGCAAAATTCATCACTTTGTAATGGAGTAACTCACTGTTACAAGCAAAGACATTCAAGAGAACAACTTCGGTTCTGTTCAGGCCCAGGGCACTTTCAAACAGAACAAAAACGTGTACCAACACTGCACTTACCTGCTGGAACTTGATCTGTCTTGATCTTTTTCAATTTTTTGGCTCTCTTCTTACCATCTGGAAGGGCCTCTGCACAGGAGTCTGTCTGATCACATTCTGGACCTTGGCCCTCTCCCTCTTCCATGTCATCAGAACCAGTTTCTTCCTCAATAGGACTCATGCTTCTCTTGCCCACTGTGCTGGTACCTGTAAAACTGGCACACAGAGGAGAGATGATTATGAAGAAGTCAAGGATTACTATTACATAGGTAGTAGTTGGTGTACATCTATTAAATGCTTATGAAGGCAGCAGAATAAACTGTAGTAAGTGGTGTACCATGAAGTGACATTATCTGGAAGACCTGACTTAACTATAAAATTCCATATATTGGCTATCTAATCCAATCTTATGGAGATCAAGGTATTCATTCTTTGTACTATAGATGTCTAAGGCTTGGCTGCTGTTCTGATGAGATCACTGAACTGAAATGTAATTAAAGCTGTTCTCTATCCCTGCTTAGTTTTAACTTTCATTGTCGTGGTTAAAGCTCTGTCAATAGACACCCAGTTACACACAACTGAGCCTCAAACACACATCTCCGTACTGAAGGATTCCACATGTTCACTTCATCCTCTCTCCTGCAACTACAGAGGGTTTTAAAAGCATTTCTATTATATAAAGGCAGAGAAAACCATCAAGCTCCATATAATAAACTTTAAATCTGACTTTAAAGTGAAAAGTCTTATTATCCATGGGGCTGGGAAAATAAAAAGCACAAAAAATCACACACTCATTTCATTAGTAGTATCTACTAAAGCCTGACTAACAGGGTATGAACTCAGAGCTCCACTTCATTCAGCACACACTGAAATAACACTGTGTAGGTTTGTGTTCCACTGCAATGCTATTGTTAAGATCCCTTCAAAGACAAATGACAATATTAAAATCAAATTAGCATGAGTACAAGAAAGAATGCAGTAGCAAAGGGGCTAAATTAAAAAAACAATTCCCACTACGAACTTCTAGATATGTGAACACCAGCTATTTAAATGTCTAATTTAATCCTCTTTTAGAACTACCAATTAAAAAAAAGGTAGTTTTAGACTTATGAAGCTTTAGTTTTCCATTAAGAACCACACAACACAGCTGTATGCATCTAAGCCATGTTCCATTCTGTGACTGAAATATTAATACTGTGTTATAAAACAAAGCTTTACAAGGTATTGTTTTCTTTTTAATCAATACCAGGGAATTATGGTGTTTCAATAAGGTTTCACCTAAAGGAAGGACTTCTAAATTCGGCAGTACAGTTTTGGCTTTGAAATGGAATTTTTTCAGCTGAACATTTTGCAATTTAAAACAGACTCTTTCTGGGATGTCCAAAGGCAATAAACAAACATGAAACATATGATTACGTCTCATGCTCTTACTTCCACTTCAGGAGCACAAACACCATTCACTTTGATGAATAGTTGGCTTTTCCTCCAAACATTCACACACAGAAGGCGTTCTTGCATGATTTCTTACAAATCATCATTTGGAGTCACACCACAACTACCATCAATAAAAAGATGGAAGCCAAAAAGCTGGAGAGAACTGTTTATCCGACATACACAACTCAATATGGCAAAACAGGCAAAAACTGGGCTTGAAAGAAAAAAAAAAATCTAGTGAAGAAAGAGCATTTAGGGAATTAAAAACTACTATGTTTTTTTAAAAATTGTTTAGAAAAGCTTGTAAGAATTCTCCTTTTGGGAAAGACATTCTGAAAAACACATAAGGAAGAAAAACTCAGGAGCCATAAATTATGATCGATCACTGCAGGAAGAAGCTCCCTGCATGAATGGTCTTATGGCTGAATTTAATTTTTTTTCAGCTTAAGGCTCTTGTGAAGTTATCGTGAATAAAGAGAAACAAGTTCTTCCCTTTCAGTGCACATTTATCTGTGTACCAAAGTACAAAATAAAAATTAATTTAGGCCTTACATTCCTCCTGCAGATACTTTGGGGGGGGGAATAACCCACCAAAAAAGTGGCAGCACAAAATACAAAATAAACATAATTTTATAATCAAGAACTGTTGATGTCTTACTTTCTCCCAACATATTAATTTTATTTTACATCCCTGCATTGATTGTATGGCTAAGGGTTGATTTTTTTTGTGTTATTCTTCTTTAACTGAAAATAAGATTCAAGATTACAGCAATATTATTTATGAACTTAGTAGCAAATTAATATGGCTGCACATCCGAGTTAGAGAACAGCTTGGAGCAGTTCAGTTTTCCAATAATACCCGTTATTCTGGATGTGTCCACATGTCTGTCTCAATTTCCTTAGTCTGCTGAGAAACAACTAAACAAAGTTTAGTTGTTTAGACTCAAACACACTAATACATATTGTTGTCCAATTCGGATCAACTTCCTTTATTATTTATCCAAACTCTGGATACCCGAACCATTTAGAGACAGAGATTTCCACCATCCATAAACTACACAACACTTAGGTTTCAAAACACGCATGTACAACAGCTATCCAAGCAATAATTTGATTTTTTTTTAAAGAATACATTTAAAGAGGCTCTGAAATTTCTTTTGCATATTGAAATGGAGCTTGTTCTCATTTTAAAAATAAAATCACTAGCCAAGTTGTGGGGTTTTTTGGGGGGTGGGGGTGCTGAGAAACCACCAACTAAAAAAGGCCCACCACAACAAAATCCTATTATACATTGCCAGTTGGCAGATTCAGTCAGTGAACAGTACAGCTTTCCCATCAGCCAGGGATAATGGGAAGTGGGGTCCCAAGACCCTTCCCACTCATCCTTCTTCCCCAAGCTCTCCCTGCTGCTGCTTTCAGTGCCAGCCCACAGGCAAACCTGGGGAGGATGAATGGCACTGCAGGAGGGTGGGAAAAACAGGAAACCTGCATTTGGTTCTTGATTTCTCTCTGTTGATTTCTAATCAAAAAGACTTTGAGTTGAACTGCAGCAGCACGAGCAGCACCACGAGCACTGATCACAGCGGGGCGAATCAACAGCATCTGGAGGTCCTGCACTGCCAGAAAGGGCACAGACTCCACCTGATTAAACTGGCCATGGACTTTGGAATGTCATTTCAAATACTAAATATCAGCAATCCAAATAGTGCTCTGATAATTAATTTGAAAGAATCAGCAGGTGGAGGGGGGACAAAAGGTGGGAAAACAATTATGATGATGCAGCATTTAACATTTTCCGTTTTGGGAAAGCGCTTTCCAGTTTTAAAAGAAACACTTCATCACAACAGAACATTTTGAATTGGCCTGGATATATGCAGACCTTCAACTTCAAATAAATTTCATTTAAACAAAAACATAAACCTTGTGTCTTCCTGAGACTTTGAATAAAATTAGAGGGGTGGGAGTAGATAGTGATCCATCATAAAAATCAGTCATTTCAGCTTAAGAGCAGGTGAAATCAGGTGAAATAACACTACAATACTGGCTTACTATAATAACTGGCTTGCAATATTTGTTATCCATATATTTAATGACTTGGGTTCTCCCAATTCTTATCCTTTATTTGATAATAAACCATTATAAAAAACCCTTTCTGTAAAAAACAGAATCATAGGTAGAAATACTTGAACACTTCAAAAATTAGATAATCTCCAGCAAAATTAAGACATTCAAGGAAGTGGTGCTACAAACAGCACCCTGACTCGACAGAAGGTAAGATGCAGCTATTGCAGTTTTAAGTCCAAAATTTGCAAGGCAAAATGACACATCACTTTCTGTGCTTCACACTACTACTTTGCCATTGGCCTTATTCTATTTTACTATTCCTACATGATGATCAGGAAAACCAGAATAAGTACAAGTAGGGCAGGATACTTAGTTTTACACAGAACATACCCTATTTGACTTTTCTATGGTTTAACACTGTTTTGCTGAGGGGAGGTTCTCACATGCAGGCGTTTCAGAGCCCTGGCAGAGCTGGCACAGCACAGCCAGTTCCACCCTGTCCTGTGTGTTCTGAACAGCAAAGGCTTTACAGAAGGGGATCTGAGTTACTACTTCAAGTTTTGTCAAATGCTTCAGTTTTCCCTCTACTGCTCCACCTTACATTAATAATCTGGCATATTTCCACCGGGATAAATTTTGTTATTTAGCAGTAGCAGTACGAAGGAACACACATTAAGTGATTTTATCTTGTGACTGCTATTAATACTATTACACCACATTTTCTGAAGAGTAATTCCTCTATAATATGGGACTACAGTTTTTTCAGCAAGACAGGGATTAAAGAACCTTTGTTACATACTTATCAATCTGGCAGTTTAAGACAAAGTTCCTTACAAGAAATACCCAACAACTCCATTACTGAATGAAAAAGTAGCCAGGACACATCGTCATTGTGGAGGGGAACAGCTACTCTGCAGCTGTGCTCCTTGGCAGAACTGATTCAGCAAGCTTATTAAATAATAAATAAATAAAGGATGTAGTAACATGAAGCTATTAAAAGAGATCAGCTGCTGGATACATCACAGCACTGAGTGCTCAGCTAGATAGGACTTACACTAATCTGGACAAATATACACACATACAAATGCACATATATATATTTGTCCTGGTTGTCTATATAAATATTATGCTATAGTTATTATATTTTATATTAATATATTTATATAATAATATAATATATAAAAATATAAGTGTTTTTATATACCTTTGTCTGAAAACAAAAAGAAAATGCTCCTCTTGAGTGAAATGAAAGACCACATGGTTTGCAGTTCCATATTATATCTAACCAGATTACACTTCAGAGGAAGCATTTACAAAAGATTAGTTGACAAAAGAATACAATCTAACTAGTAACAAATAAAAATAAAATTCATGTCAAAAGACCTGCATGAAAGGGAATTTGGGACAGAACAAAATCACTTTATTAACTGAGTAAGAAGACAACAAAAATTCATGTAACATCAATTATAAAAGAAGGTCTGTCAACAAAATAATGCCTTCTATCCAAGGCTATCTAAGTGTTGACCATCTAAAACCAAAAAGTTGCTTCTTGTGGAATTTGACAACACTAGATAGAAAAAATATATTAAAACCTGCCAAGATTAAGTGCTTAGGCAAACAACTCATTGGGGTGTGTCAAACTTCAGAGGAAAGAATTCACTGAAAATTTTATTCAGCGATTTTCCAAATTATACCTATGTGGCAATTCTCAAACTTATTTACAAGACAACAGCAAATCAGCTTTCTGCATTTACTATTTTCCACAAGCTGTCACCCTCACTATCTGCCTAGAACCTGTGATACCAACTTAATGCCAGACCTAAACCTGAGCCACAGGCAAGCTGCTGCCAGGACAATCTGTAGAGCTCCCCATCTCTCCCCAGCACACACTCCCAAGTTTCACTAAGTACAACAGTTCCATTAAACTAACTTCATTTGATATGGATTTTATCACCAGGTTCCTCCATATGGTTTTTTGAATCAGACACGTCTATAACACATTTAGAATCCCCACCATGACAAAAGCCATGAATATCTGACAGCTGGCCAAAATACACACCTGCAAAATTACAAGGCTATGTCAGTGGCAAGAACAGAACAAGTTGAGCATATTTGTTACATGACAGACAACATTTACAGGAAGATATAATGAGCTAGAACTTGTCATAGCATTCCCAAGAAAGATACAGCAAAAGGGACAGCATTGGTTTTGTGACCATTATATTTGGTCTGTCTAACCACAGGGTGGGGAAGGACAGAGAATCCCCCCAAAAACCAAACCAAAACACCACCTTAGAGAAATGTAGCTTGTACATTCCACTTAAACTTATTTTCATATATTTTCATATAGAATTGATAGAAAGAATGGCAATAACTTGATAGGTTAATTATACAATTATATTAACACTGAAAGACCCTTCTCACACACAGCTACACAGATGACTGAGAAAGAAGCTGCCTGTTACCCTCATACCCAAACCTGTCATTAAGACGAGGGTAAAAATGGAACAAGAAATACATACAGCAACAGACTGTGCCAGAATCAAAAGCAGCATGTCCTGACTTAATTTTGTCCTTTCAATAATGAACTAAAACCCTGTTCAAGTTTTATACCAAAAGCTTAAAGCCAGGCAAGTATCATCATTTGCCATCCTGCTCCTGAAGCATAAGGACAACTTCATCAGGACTGCTCCAGAAGGTAATTCATGCCCCTCTTTGCTGCACTATTATCACCATGAAAGTCATCCAAAAACCAGCATGGCCTTCAAAAGGTTATAAGATGACAGCTAAGTATCAGAAGACAGAAGCCATTCAAAAGTATCAAATGGATAGAGAAAATAAACTTTTTAATTTGATTATAAGGAGTGATGCTGCTACATGGAGCTCAGAAGCTGTGATTTGACCTGTCCCCAGGATCCCAGAATTTAAAAATCTGTCTAATCACATTGGTGATGAAATTCTCTCTGCTCTTTCACTTCTCATCTTGTGACAGGTGATGTACCACTATTGATTTATATGCAAAGAAATAAATGCAGGAAAAAAACTCATTTATTAGTTAAGAACTACCTGAAAATTGCCAGACTTCTAACAAAAATGCAATAAAAATATTAGAGTTGGCAAAGCAGAAGTCCCCTCACCTGTTAACACAGTAGTAGCGACTCTGGGAGATGTAGGGTGTGCACTGAGTTTTTAACCGTTTCCTCTCCATCTCCTTCCAACTGTCTTCTGTGCATTTTCTCTTTGTCTGTTTGTCTTCATGTTTGTTCTCAACATATTCTGCATATGTCTGGATCCTATAACTTTCAGCATACCTGCTGGTGTTTACAGCTGTGGAGAAGAAGAGTGATGTTACACACAGAACACTGAAATGACAGCATGTCCTCCCCTGAAATAACTGATTTTGAAAAGCAGGGCGCAGCGAGTTGTTTGTTCTGTTCATGTAAACCATTTCTAGTTCCATTGTTAGCAATTAAAACAAAAAAAAACAAACCAAAACCAACCCCAAATGCCACACTCTCCAAAAGTCTCAGTGTCTGAATTGGATGCTCAGAACTCTTTTGAGGGTCGGACTTCATGCAAAAAGAGTTAAATCTACTTAAGATGCTTCTTTTAAATTAGAAACGATCAATTCTTCAGTCGTAACCCTCTTCCAGATTGCCTGCTGGCAAGAAAAGATTTCCTGGATTTTTTCCCTTTTAGGCTCATTACTTAACCCAGCAGGTTTATTTTGCAAGTCTGCCAGGAAAAGACGACATTTGCAAAGCCTTTGCCAAAACTCTGTTTGATTGCTGTGAAACATAAGCTTATTTGAGCTGCATTTTTGGTTGCACAAGACATCCATGGAAGAAGCACTTAACTAATATCCAGCTGTTCCAAACTTGTATCTTTCTAATGTTTGGTCTCAATTTAACTAAAAAACACTGCCAGTTCAAGGTAGAAGGATTTCTGTCAATGCAAAATTAGAATCGCTTCAAAAATAAAGGAAAAAAAAAAAACTTTCACTGCCTCCACTCAGCAACAATTTAACAACATTCCTTCAAGTCCCAGCATCTTCACAGCCCTCAGCCTTCAGCGAGCGAGCCAAGCTCTGGCCTGATGCCATCACTGTAACAGATGAATCAGCAAATTAAACTGACTGTCAACTGGTGTCTTCTGCTGTTTCCAGCCTAACTCTCTGAAAGAAAGTATTGTAAACCAACCACTAAACCAGTTTAAATATAAACCAAAACCAATCTGGGGTTTGGTTTGTGAAAACCAAACCCCAGATTGTTTTTCACATTTTAAAAATACCATAATTGTAGCGGAGACAAACTCCTGATTTTATTCTGTACTTCCAATTTTTGTGCAGCCATTTCAGATGCATAGCCAACTTTCTTTTCTAGCTGAAGTGTTGTTATCTCCAGTACAGGTAATCTGTGCCACCTCTGGTCCAAGGACTAGAAATGGCAAGCTCCAACACTGCATTTCTGAAAAGCTGAGGAATATGGGTGGATGGGTGGATTTGGTTTTCCTCCTCTTTCAGGGCAGATCATCTATTCTGTATATTTGCTATGTTCCAGTGAAATGAAGTACCTATAATATGTGCCATGGCATAGAGATGCTGCTGCTGCAAAGTCTTTGTAATGCACATAAAACTGGGCCAAGAGTGTTGTATATTTAATTTTAATAGCAAACATAACTAGCAGCAGTTCTGATTAACAGCTCCTGAGATTGGTGCTCTAACCAAGAGGAGTCAGGCAAACCCCCCCTTAGATTTGTTTTGAACTGTGAAGTTCCAGGATCTGTTTGCAGGAATTAGGAGCATATTTATTGCCCGTGGAGTTATGGTGCAGGCACCATGAATGAATTACTAAGGCTCACTGGAGTTTGCTGCATGCCAGCCCACATTCCTCGGGGTAACATTTGTTTAGTTAGACTCAAGTATGTTTTTACTTGCTAAAATCAAGCACAGCGTTACCATGGATCATCTGTTACACAGTCATTTGTTAAAACACAATAACCATTTCACATTATTTGTTTTGCTACAAACTACGAACCAAAGTTACGGGTCTGCCATTGAATTCCCTGATATACTTGGCCCTTTTTTAAGGAAAAAAAAATAAAAATATACGCAGGTTAAAAATAATTTTAAAATAAATCTGTGTAAGAGTCGGTATTTTCGAACAAAGACAACCCTGCTTTCTTGAAATAAGGCATGTATTTTACAGCAACCCATTCATATGTCACACAGACACACGAATATATACATATATAGCATATATATTTAATATAAAATATTACATGCTGAATATATTGCTTCATCATGGAGCAATTGAAATGAAGGCATATGGAGAAGTCTAAGGAGTCACACACATAAATCAATCTTGCATGGTCTTGAGCCGAAGAGCAGCTCCCTGTAAGAGTTTAAAATACATTTTCTCTGATGCTTTTTTGATGAATGCTGTCCATATTGCCAACCAAAGCAAATACAGTTACATCCTTCTGCATTGCCAGCAGAAGAAATGCATTGCTAGAATGCTTTGTGAATTCTAACACACTAAAGAGAACTTAGGGAAGTTATTTCCTTATTTATTAAAATTTTAAGAGAGGAGTCAACTCTTCCTGTGAGAAACCTGACCAACTCTACATGGCTGCATTTCACCACACATTATCTGCAGGCCTGAAGCAGAATAATAGCAATTGCAAATTATTTTAGGAAAAGCATTTCTGGAGGACTCATCTTCTCTAGTTATCAGGCAAGATATTGAGCAGGCTGACAGTTGTTGAGTGATCCAACAGGAATGTGTACAAAGATACTCTTTTGCCAAGTCCTTGCTTTTATGCAGAGCAAAATCCTGACAGATGGCCACTGACAATATTAAGCCTCTTAATAAATAGGCAAATATGTCTATAGGCAAAATAGGTAAAAGAAAAGCAACAATATACAAATAAAACAAATACACAGAGCTATACAGATTAAGGCTGCAATGCTGAACACTCAGGCTTATGAAATCCTGAAGTAAAATTTCACCTGTGAAGCCTTAAAGCGACCTTTGTATGATGCTGCCTCCATCTTATCTGATCACGTTCTACTTCAAACATGGGGCTGCTGCCTCAGACTGTTCAATTAGTGAGCAGCTAAGGCAGCATTTTCTTTTACTCTCATTAGTCACTCTTTGGTTCCACAGCCTTATTTATTGCCTTCTAGGGCTGTTCATGCTGCATCTAAACAACTGTGTTTCTTTAGCAGGAAAGAAGCAATCCTGGGAGTAACTATGTAGCAGTTATTGCCCTATGGAGTATGTTACTCTTAGCCCTGAGAAAAGGTTAATTCCAAAAAACAACTAAGTGTAGTGGATTAGACCATTTTCTTCAGTCTGGTTACAAAAACTGAAAAAAAAACCAAAAAAACCAAAAAAACACACCCACAAATGAAGAGAGGTAAAATACTACATTAATCTTCACTATCCATGAAGAAAATCTCAACTTAGTAAAAACCACTGACTGAACAGAAACAGAAATCAAGGCTGGTGAAGATGCATTTTCTTGCTCCAAGGAATCAATGTATTAGAGACTGATGGAGAAAAGTAATTTAACAATTTGAAGGATCCATAGTCTCTGAATTCTATTTAATACCAGCAACAATCTGCAGGCTGCATCAAAACTGAAAACACCAGTTTGCACATAGTGCTGCCCATCCCCTTGTTTCCTCTCCTGTACTAGCTTAAGATAGAATCTGCATAGGCACATTCTTCTAAAATAGACGTAAAATAAGAGTGTTTTACAAAGGTTGTCATCTCTCTTGGTATCTGAATCCAGAACAGGGAGCATCAATGCAGTGACAAAGCAGCTGCTCACTTTATGAAGAGGATGGTAAGTTACAGAGCAAACCAAAATAAACCTTTGGATTTCCATGCTGGAGACAATGGAAAAATGATTAAGTGATCTGAAGGAAAAGAGTTTTACAGAAGAAAGAAAAAAATGCCAAGTACAAAGCATGGCAAAGAAAGGGAAAGATCCTTAGGCAACGTTTAAACTTAAAATATTTCTCTTGATGAAGAACACAGATGACAGTATAGTCCAGTGAGACATCTCATGCTATGCACATGTAAGTAGATTCTTATAAAGGATTTTAACTCCCCTAAAGATGAAGTCATTTAAATACTGAAAGAATTCAAGCTGCTTAACCTTTGAGCCCTGTTTAAATACCTCAGTAATACATTTTGCAGCTTTTGTTTCGACTCATTTCAAAAACTCCAAATCAAATGAAAAGGTGGTCACGATGCTTCCAACACTACATTAAGAAAAAAAAACTAATATATTCAGACTTACAGAGTACAAAGGGCATTTTGGGTTTGGGGTTTTTTTGTTTATTTCCTAATTGATGAGAAAAAAGTATGGCTGCAGGTGCCTTGAAGGCATGTCTATAATCTGTCTTCTTAATTCCACATCAGTACTGCTGGAAGTTGTACAATAGCTATCTCTAGATATGATTTATACCACTGGTTCCACTGTAAAACCAGTAATTCATTTTCCTGTTGCAGTCAAGATTCCTGAAGAGAAGCAGAAATTCACTACATCTCAATCCCTGCATTTACTAGCACAGGAATGGTTTTGAATAAACACTGCAGAATTTTGAGGATGACTAGTGAAGTGTTCAGATCTGTGTATGTACAAATTCAAAGTGTAACATGTCCAGAACATTTCTGCTCTGGTCAGAAAGGCACAGTGTCTGTTATCACACAAAGCACAGAGAGCTCAGACCTGCAGGACTTTTCAGACAGAAATGGAACACACAGTCTGATTTCAGCTCATTTCATCTTGTTAGGAGATGAACATGGAGAATCCCATGTTGCTCCTTGGCCCCTGCTCCAAACCACCTGGTCTCGTGCCTTTTAAAAACCTCCAGGGACAGGGACTCCACTGCTTCCCTGGGGCAACCTTTCCAATTCTTGACAACCAGTCCAGTGAAAGCATTTCCCTAATATCCAACCTGAACTTTCCCTAGTGCAACTGCAGGCCACATTTCTTCTTGTCCTATTGTTTTGTTACCTGGGAAAAGAGACCGACCCCCACCTTGCTTCAACCTCCTGGCATGAACTTCCCATTAACTTCTGGGTGAGAACACAGTATGTGAATTTTTGTAATGTCATTTTTCAAAGAGTCTGGGTATTACAGTACATAACACCTGCCCTTTCCCCAAATTCAGTGAGAAGAGACTGATACATGCACAATCTCAAAATGGTGGTAGTAAGCACTCATGCTAAGTAGAGGGTTCTACAGTAAACCTTATAAAACACTAATAAGCCATAAAGTCCAGCCCTGTCTGAGAAAAACTCACGAGTTCAGAAAGATTAATGATTTAAACACAAATCACTGAAAGGCAGTCACAATTTCAGCTGCTGCACCTGCTTTAGTCCATTGCTCCCCTGCTGTCTAAATACATTGGCCTGCTCAGAGCCTAGAGGAAGAAGATATCCTGCACACACTAAATTCTGTATGAGCTCATGTATCAGGGCACCAACACATGGAATAACTTAACATTATTTCAATGCCTGCCATTTATGACAAGCAGTTGCTTTTCACATGTATTTAAAATTTCAAGTTAAGTGTATTTATTGCATTTTAAAACAGCAAGAAAAACATTCCCAGGAAGATTCTCAAGTTAAAATTACTCTAAAATCGAACCAGTGGTCTTAAAATATTGCAGAAGTTATTCATAATCAGAACATAGATGTTATTAAACCGCACACCTGAGCCTTAGGTAAAAAGAATTAAGTGCAAGTGTCGACTGCCAAGGGAAAATAAATCATGTATATTTTTGAGGTATCACTGATAAACTTGCCCATTATTTTCATTAACATATAACCATGTCAAATGCAAGACCTAAAAGCCAGAATTGTATGCCAAAAGTTGGTTCTGGGGTTTGTTCTCCCAGTGCACACACTGCTTTATCTTTTGCCACACATTTCACAAGTATGTGCTTCATGTCTGACACAAATGCTGAGCCCACATGAAGCACAACTTGGCAACAGAAAGTTTTGTCTCCCAGACGTCCAACTAAAGGAATATCAACCATTTAACAAATTCTTATTAATTACCTACGTTGAACAGCAAATTCCAGCAGAAAACAGATTGTGTTTAATGTCCATTATTGTTTTCAGGTGCTGAAGTTTATGTTCTGACTGTAAAGGGTAACATGATCTGGTACAAGAACAAACCTTTTCTACTCCTAATAAATTAGAGAGGCTGCCAATATGTGAGTTGCACGAATAACCAAATAAAGTGAAGATTCTTGGACATTATTATAGGCAGCAAAATGAAAAGTTTAAGTCTTGACTCTCATTTTCCAAGGTTTCTGGTTTGTGTGTTTTAAACATGCCATACTCAGTTTGAAAGTTAGGAGCAGCTCCAAAATTGCCTATAAAAATATTGCCCTTTCCCCTACTTATTTTTCAGGGGAAAATAAGTAAAAGAGGAAACAAGTCTTTTTACACACTGCAAAGATTCATAGGTTCTTCAGGGTAACACTTTAACAATTAGACAATTGGGATGTGCATTCTCCCTGGCAACACCCACACTACTGACTCCCATGGGAAATTCGAAGAGCTGCTCATTAGTTGAATTCAGCTGATCAAATGTATCCTTTTCAAACAGAAAAGCACATGGACCAATGTTTTATCAATCAGCTTGGGACCAGGGCTTAATGGTTACCATCCACAATATTACCTAACTGAGGAACACTGTTTTAAAGAGCACTGGGGGATGAACAGATACATTTTATTACCTACACATTCAAAAGGAATTTCTATGCATATTACCATGAGAAATCCAACATATTCCCAGGGGGCTGATGAACAAGCTTTTAGTCCATTTGAAATACCTGAAGCCAGGAGAGTTAGAAGCAACAGAAACAGCAAAGCTCAGCAGAGCACAGCAGAAACAGCTTATACAAAGTGTCACATTTTAGGAGGTCTGCCATTGTAGAGGTTAAGCATGATAATTAATTAGTTGAAATGTGAAAGACAACTATCAGAATTTCAATACAACTCTTAGATACAGTTGCACAAAACTAGTACTACAGACAAATCATATTTTAAATTGTCTTGTAACACCTACAAATCTGAACAAAATTAAAAGGCATTGGAGATAAGTTTTTAAGAAACCAGAAAGATCTATCAGCTGGTTATCCTGAGTGTGTACATCACGGAAGGATGGCAGAACAGTCTTTAAATCATCTGCTGTTCAAGTCTATAACTTTAGTTCAGCCAAATATTCAGCATTTGGATCACTGCTGCAATTAAAAAATAAAGACACCTTCCAGGTATAAATGGAGTTTAAAAAATCTGGTAGACCTAGAATCAGATAACACTCCATGCAGGTTATCACAAAACTGATCCTATTTTCATAGCTTTTTCACACAATTCCCTTATTAAAAAGGTGCAAAGTAAGTCTGGAGGTTTTTGCAGTGCTTAGACTCATCTATAATGCAAATCTGAACACTTCATCAAAACTTCCAAACACTCTTCATGTTCTCAATCCATTTAAGTTCCAATAAATGCTCTTGTTGCACAAGTGCTTTCTCAATTATATGTATCAATACCAGCTCAGAGTCAGAAATATCTGTAAGAGGTAAGCACAGAAGTAGGTCTGCAACAACATCTTGAGTTGTATCACACTGTTTGACAGTTCTCCAAGGCTTTTTATACAGTCCAGAAGACGCAGACATTTAAATAAACAGGTTAAAAACCAGGCCACATTATTAGTTTTTCCTAGGTTCTTCACATAAGCACATCTCACTAAATCACAAGTACAAACAGTGACTTTTATTGCCAAAGCAGTTCATTAAAGAATTTAAGACCAGGAAATAGAATAAAAGAATTAATTTTATGACCTGTTTATTACAGAAAAAACAAACAAACAACAAAAAAACACACTCAAAAAAACCCCAAACAAAACAAAACAAAACAAACAAACAAAAAACCCCAAGATTTTTTAGCAATTTTACAGTGAAAATCTCACAGATTTTTGGTAACTGAGGTTACTGTAGTTTATCAGCTTGGTTGGCTCACTGCTTTCACTACGAGAATCTATTGACCTGATTTCATAAAATCTATAAAGGACTATAATCACCTGAGCTTTCAAACAAATAACATGTTTTCTAGCATGTAGGCCACAGAACAAGCCTCCCTGTTTGTCAGAGTACCAAAAAAAAAAAAAAAAAAAGACACACAGACAGAACAGTGCCAGAAAGATTCAGTTTAAATATTCTGCACGCATTCGGTTCTTTCCACAATATAGAGTTGCTGTAACAAAAATAAAACAACAAAAAAACCCACCCAATAAAAACAAAGAAGTGGTGGTAATGTGTGCACCAAGCATTTTGACAATGGGTAAGTAACTGAGGTGAAAGCAGTGGGGAATTTACCGCAGCAGCTTCTAGGAAGGCTTTACCTGACATAATTCTTTATCTGGAACTTCTCACCAGAAGTTACATCACCCTTATATCTACACATACATGAAGAAACAATGGCTCTTGGTGCTGTGGAGCAATGGCTGTAAGGAGGCTGCTGGAGAGCTCTCCAAATCCTCTGCAGAGCCCTGGATGGATGAGGAAGGATGATAAACACCCCCAGGGTGTTAATAAGGAATTACAGAGATGCACTGATTGTGCATCCAGAACCTGAAAGCCTCTTTATCTGAGCTCAGTAACATGGATGATGGGGAACTCAGTGGGCTTTACTAATCTGGTTTTTTTTTTCTTTTAAGACCTTAATCATGAGAATTCTGGCAGGATACCTGTTAAGTGCAACAAAATTTCAGCCACTTAATGAGAAGTGCTACAAATACTGCTGTTCTTACTGGTTCCACAACATGTGATGAAGCATTTCAGTGAACAGGGATGGCACCACCATAACATATCCCAAATGATCATCTATGATGGTCCACTCCCAGTCACCGTTCCCAGAAGTTAAGTTTATAAGTCAGTCCTCAAATACATACAAAGGGACTACAGAAACCACTACAAGCTTGTGGATCCAACTACAGTCAACCAAAAACCTTAAAAACCTCCACCCAAATACACAACTAAACCCCCCCCAAAACAACATAAAAACCTAATGTAAAAACCCTCCACACCAAGACTGGAAGAAATACTTTCAGTAAATTCAGAGATGTTGGACTCTTCCTCTGTTTTTAACACAGTTCTTGATTAGTTCTTGATGATTTCTCCTGTTATTTATTCCATATTTCATGATGATATTTAGATCATGTTTTGCTCCGTGCTTCTTATACTGAAAATGGTTCTTTCTACAGTACCTTGCACAACTGTAAATAGTAAAATATTGCTATCTGTCCTAATTATGTGAACTAGAAATGTGGGTTCATTGAGTGTATTTATTCAGTCATGTACAATTTTTTTTCTTTAATCTAACCCCTCTCCTAAGATCTGAACCAAGGAGCAATACTTAAAAAAATCCAAATGCAATGAACTTCCAAGAAAAAAGGTTAAATGTATAGTTCCTATAGAACTTATGCCCATCAACTTGTTTCAAAGCTAAGATCATAAATTCAAATAAAAATTGAAAAATCTCTGGAGAGATTGTACATTGTAAATGCACAAACTGTAGACACATCAGCAGTCCAGACTATTCAAACTATTACTTTGCATGTGTTCTACAATACACCAAAAGGCTTCTCACTTCATTTCTTCCTTGCAAACCAATCCAAACGTATCAGGCCAAAGGATATTTGGAGGCAAAGACCATAAAAGTCTTTGACAGTTCTCCTCTGTGCAAACAATAAATAGCCTCAATAAATACTCCACCAAGTGAAGGAACCACTGTTGCTCTACCTACAGGTTCAGGGACTCAGAGGATCGTGGAATGAAATACTAAACTCTCAGCCAAGTCCAGTCTGGGCTTGTCTTTGCTGCCCCACATGGGCTGGTACTACAAAAGTCTAATTCCTCTGAGCATCAGAACCAAGTCAGTGGTTCTGCCATGGCAACCACAGACCCTGTGGGCTCAGGGCATTTTACAGGAGCCAGTTGAAGTCTTAATGCCAAAGTAAATCCAGCAACACTCACCTATTGGTACTTGCTCTGGCTGGCTCAGTGACACAAATGCTGATGTATCATCAATCCACGACACCTGAATGTTACCTAGAAAAGGCAAAACAAATTATGATGACTATTTTTATCTTAGGCTCAGTCAGAGATTTTATCTGATGTGACATGACATAAAAGAAGAGAGTCGATTAAGAGTAACTGCACCTGCCAAGGCTTTTGCCCACTGTAAAGGTGTGCAGTGCACACACATGGGCCTGGAACTGTTCAGAAATTTCGGGCTGCATGTGCACCCTGCACACCCTCAGACCCTCATGTCCTCCCTTCACGGGTTCTATATCATTCTACTCAATCAACTGAAGCAATTTGCTGGGAATTTCAGCCCTTGACTCAGATAAAACCAGCTCTTTGGGTGATGATGAACTCCAGTAGAGCGGGGCGGGCAGAAGATTGATCACACGAATGGAGAACTCCAGTTATTGTGACACTAAATCTTCAAACTCTGGCTTGTTTGGATCCCACCATCCATCATTTCCTGCAATAAAAACTTCGTTTGGGTCAATATAAGGACAAATGCACAAAATCATGGCCCTCATTTGGAAGCTGTTACAATGGAACAGTGACTGGAAGTAAGTTCCTCTATTCATCAAGCAGTTAGTGCATTTTCTGTGTGAACGGCTTAAAATGTCACATTAGCACTAAAAGAGCTCATAATCAAGCAAAAACAGAGGAAAGGATTCCCACTCCAGACACAAAGTCTTATTATAGTCTGAAATCCATTTACATCTCCTGTCTGCATCTAAGTGCTCTACTGTTAGTACAGTTCAGATATTGAAAATTGGTGCCATTTTTTTTCAGGTAGACTAGGAAATCAAGTTATATATAATGTTACACCACCATTTAACCTTCAGACATTACAAGGTTAAAAACAATGATGCAAAAAGGCTTAAAAGACATTTATTCTCAGTTGTTTAATCTATTTAAATCTAATTTAGCCTACAGGTTACAAGGTTATAGCAGTCTCTTCTGAAATCCAGCCAGATTATAAACAGATTTTCTAATTATAAAAAAATAAAAGCCTAGATAGATTTCATTTGCATGCTATGTATTTGAGTAGCCAGCTATTTAGGAGTTTAAGTTATAATCATTTTGATCATTGCCAAAACCATAATTAATTCAGTATGGTTTCTGACATTTCCCTGTACTAAAGGGCTAAGGCTGCTATTAAGGAGAGCCTGCACTAAGAAGTTACATGTTAGAATTTCTTTAAACACTTTTTAGGGCAAATAAATTCAATTTCTCATAATTCAGCTTTGAAGAACATAGGTCTTTGTTGCCTGTGGGTAAGAGTCTTTACTGTAGAGAGAACACCTTTTTGGCAGGACTCTAACATTTCACAACCCAGGAAAAGCCCGACCTGATTTACAACTACAACTCAAAACTGTGCATTTGGAAGGACCCAACACTGAGCTTCCTTGAAATGACAGAAATTACTGCACAATTTAACATTGTTCCACATGCATTCACAAGTTATCACTCTAAATTTCTGCATCTATGAAGTTCTCCTTTTCTGCATTACTAATTACAAAATTTTCTAGAAATCATTTGACACAGCTGAGACCATAATCTCTTGTAACTCTTCAACGTGGCAGTGCTGCCCTGTGTCCCTTTCCTACATATACAGTTAATTCATTCCAGTCTACCCTGAACAGACAAAAAAAAAAGATCAGAAAGGAGAATTCTCCTGAACATCTTGCCCTTGGTGTAAAACAGCAAAGAGGATCAGTGACAGACAAAAAAAACCTCCTGAAGTTCAGCTACTCAAATGGAATTCAGTGCCCATATTTTCACTAAGTACTTATTTTTAATAAGTTAATAAAAATCCAACCTATTGATAGCACATCATTTTAGTCATTGTTTCAGAAAGGCTGCTGCACTCTAAATGACTTTTGACTTTGTATTTTTAGCTAATTAGGGGTTTCGATGCCTGCCAACACATGCTGCCTTTATACTCAGATTTAAACATTTTAAATATAAAATTTAAAGAAAAAGTCAAACATTAAACAGTGGATGCTGAGTTGCAATCTGAAGAGAACCGCAGCAAATGCTCTTATGCAATTCTCCATGCTCAAGAGATGCTCCTTTCACACTGTGCCACATTTCATTATTATTAAGAAGCAAGAATTTAAGAGAGATAAGATTAATAAATTAGATCATTCAGCAATACTGCTAAGCCCTCAGTAAATATTGTGCATTTCAAGTATGGTGAAATAGGAATAAAGCTCTGAAAAGCAAATGCATCTGCACTTGCAGTATAATATTTAGCAATCAAAGAGCCATGTGCCACTTACTGCAAGGCCAATGCAGATGAGCCACACACTGCAATGGAAACCAAGAAATAAAGCAGGAAATTTCCCTCTCTGCACTTCTACACTTTGAAGATTTTGGCCTGTGTGACCCTTGTCTGCTCACTGCTACACACAATGTCAAACAATGGCCTTTGCTAAAGAAAGGGGAAGTCAAGTAAAGAATTATCAAGTGAAGTAAAACACCCTTGCTCAAGGAGATGAAAATCTGATTTTTTTGCTTCTGAGATGAAGGCACAAAGCAACATGCATCTTTTCTGTAAATAAATTCAAAAATTCTCTCTACATAAACTAAACACGCAAACAACATTAAAATCTACAAAATAAAATTTTCCTTTTTATACTCCTTTTTTACACATTCCCTACCTGACTGTTCCTGACAATTAACCACTCAGTATAGATATTAGGACTATACGGGCCTTCATTTAACCAAAAAAGTTTATGAATATATTCCATATACAATTTCTTATCACACACACAAAAAAAACTTGCCCACATTGACACCATGACAGAATTGCTAACAGTTTCTGGACCCTGACTGCATCAGACAATATAAAAGTTTTATTCTGTGAACAAGGGTTGAAGCACATATTAAACACAAATTATTCCTGGTGAAAAACTGAAAAGGGTTAAGAGCTTCCACCTTTCTGGCAGGAAGACACGGTACAAAGAAAGCAAGAACAGCTGAAGGAAACCTTGGCATGAGAAGAAGGAGGAAAGGCCAGAAATACACACAGGAAAAACAGAAGTAAAATTTTTAAAACCTTATTAAAAAAAATCCCAAACCAATCGAAACAACAAAATCCAAACAAAAACACCCCACAATGAAAAAAACCCAACAAGCCAAAAAAACAACATTCAAAGCTCAGATGTCTATATGAACACGAGCTTAGAAGAACACTTAATATATATGTAGTGTGCTGTAAGTTTTACTTAAACTAGATTGTCACCTTTGAAAGGGACGTTTTACAAGCTCCATTTTCTTTAAGAAAAGTTAAAGAGCGAGTTTGCAGTTCAGTGATTAGCAGGAACACACACCATAGTCTATAAAACTAGAAAACATGTCTCAAAAATGTACTTCAAAGTCACTTTAAACTCTAGTAGCTTGGACTACCAGAACATGACTTAAACACACAAATGACTGGCTTTTTTAGAAGTAACTAATCAGCATTTAGCTCCCTCTTAAGGACAACTCTGATGCTCTCCCAAAATACAATACAGTCTTTGCACTGCATTTGCATGCAGTCAGGTTTGACTCCACTCACTTGGAAAAGTTTTAAGTAGCAGTTTTTATAGTACATTTATAGTATGAGTTTAAAACGAAATTCCATCAAAGACATCCATTTATGCAGAAGTGAAAGCTATATACTAAAGCTGTATCGCAGCAAATTCGATTTTAATACCTTCAGATTTCACATCAGCATGACCAAATAAACGACACAAATTTAAGAATCTAAAGAAACAGAGTCTAAGCTAAGAGACTGCACAGCACTGCAAGTACTGGGACAGTGAAACTGCATTCACCCATGAGACTATAAAAACATCCTGCAGGAACAGGTGTCCCCTTGGTATGCACAGAGTCCTGGAGGATTTCAGGATCATGAACACCCCTCAAGAGCAGCAAACCTAAACCAGTTCCAAGGCTGACACTGCAGCCCCTTCAGCTGTTTCACCGCTTTCATTAGAAGCTTCATAGAAGATTAGAGTTCTGCTTCAGTTCATTCTAGGCTAGAACAAATTCAGAATAATTTTTTACAGATTACAATTAATACTGATATTCAGTACAACAGCTGATTAATTTCAAAACATTTTTCTGTAACGGATGTAAGGAATTCGGGTAATTCATGTCTGTTGCTGCCATATTTTTTGGCTTTTGGCAAATCACTTAACCTCACACTGCACTACTCTGCCTCTCTGTCCCCCTACAACTGGGAAAGCATCGGTATTCCCAGGATTTTGGAAGGAATAACCTGCAGCTTATTTTGAGATAACACGGCGGTAAGACCTAAATCAAAATACAGATTAAGTACTACCCGAACCCCAGGAGTTTGCAAACCCGAACACGGAACCGTTCGGCTCCAGAACGCCGGGAAACGGGAATTTCCAGCGGGAGCGCCGCGCGGTGTGCGAGCGCGCCCCCTGGCGGCCTGTCCCCGTCACACCGAGCCGAGGCAGCGCCGTCGGGGAGAGCAGAACTGCGGGAGCCGGGGGTTCCAAACACACGGAAACACCGTCCAGACGGCCGCTCCTTACCCCCAACAGAACCTCTGCCACTTTTTACAGTCCTACATTTCCAACAGGGACTACTCAGTTCTGTCCATCAGACTGGCCCCACACTGCAGGTGCAGAGACGCCGCACAGGGCACCAAACCACTGAGTCAAATATCAGGGAACCACTGGCAACTAGTTCAGAACTCCATGTCCCTGCATTTTATACTTCTACTTAGTAAAGGAGCAACAGGACTACTCGTCCCTAGTTATTAAACAGCTTTTCTGTTGTTTCTTCTGTCTTGGAAGGTGTTCAACATCTTGAAATCCAACTGGCTATTTTCAAGCTTGCTTGCTTGTCCAGACTCACCTAAACTGGAGTCTGGCTTTATGCAGACTGCAGGATGAACCTTATTCCTAAAGCCTCAATCTGCCTTTCACACCAATCCCCATTCCCTTTATCCATCTCCACATAAACCCTCCCAGGAGAGGCTGTAAATAAAAGGATCAAAGATCCATGATATTCAACAATGAGCACATATAAAGATTTCTAAAGAGCAGTTAATCAGGGCAGACATTTTCAATGCATCACTAGGAAGAAAGTCCATAGGACACCGTTCAAAAATTACAAAAGGTTGTTCCTCGTTACCTGTACTAGGAGTAAGTCTGAATCCACATACTAAAAATAACAAAACAAACCAGAAGCACTTGCTAATGACAAAAAAAAAGTGAGGAAATACAGATTATATCACTCACCAAAGGCACTGAAAAGCTGGTAAAGGTCGCTAGTCTTCCACTCTTTGGGAAAAGTAACATGAAGAACATGATCTCGTTTCGGCTGCACTATAAAACCAAAAAAAGCATTTGTTAAAATCAGTGTCTTTAGAATATCCAAAAAAGTCATCCAATGTGGTAAGGTAGCTTTTTTCCCCTCTTTCTTTCTTATTTTTTAAATAAGAAAACAGGCCAAGATCTACAAAACTACATCAAGTACCAACGCTCCACCTTGCAATACACTACTCCAGTCTGTTGAAGGTAACTCAACAGTTAACTACACCCAGCTTGTATCAGATTTTAACTAGGCCACCTGGTAACACCTGCAGGAAAAACTTCTCTCTTCTTCGGGTACACAGACACAGGGACTGACTTACATCTTAGTGAATTACCCTGAATTCTTCTGTAACACAAACTTTTCTACTTTCTCATCTCCTTAGCTTTCAGCACTAAAATAGGAGAGTTTTTCAAGGTGTATCTCATTCAAGGAGCACATGTCCAAAATCAGATCATCAACCACTTGTTATTGCTAAGTGCTTTAACCTGTTTCACTCAAAACAAGCCCAGGTTAGCCTGAGTTTACCAGACCCCCCCTGCTAATAAATTACAGCTCTACATGAGCAGCTGAGAGCAACCCCAGATTGGACAGAGACACAAGTAGTTAAAGAAAGCAATTCCTTCATGAGCACAGGTGAAGTCCTGTTAACTGAATCTGCTACTTGAAAAAACAAAAAGGACACAAAAATTTTTAAGTTAAGCACAAGTTGTATTAACAAGCAACTGCAGATGAATTTCCTGCTGGAGAGCCTACTGAACAGCCAGCAACTCCAAGTTTAACTAGTTGTAATCCAGTAGTAGAAAATTACAACCTGAATAACTCCAGTTTCAGATGTTACTACAGCCTTTTCCTGTTGATTAGAAGAAACTATTCCTAATCTTCCAGTATCAGTTTATTCCTAACTTTACTGTAAATCTGCTGTTAAAACCTCTATAACTTGCTACCTAGTCAGGTGAGAAATATTTGATTCTTATTCTGCCTTACAGTCACTTTGTGCAGCAACTTCACTCTTTTTAAAGGAATTTCTAATACACAGTAACAAAAGAAGATGATTAGGATAACTTTCACTTAATTTTTCAATACTATTCAGCCTGGTATATGTTATTGAAAACCATTATTTCTGGGAAAATTGCACAGATTTGCTATTACACTACAGGACAAGCAAACTGACAAACACATCAAAATTTATGAGAAAAAATTATGAGCTGTGCTGGTCTGTTTTTTAAAAATACAGTCTCCAAGTGCACCTACCACCGTGTTCTTTGCATGGCTTTACTTGTCTGTGTCCCCCACAGACAACAACCACACAGCACCCTCGACCTGCAGCAGTGTTTACATCTCAGAATAGCAAGAAAAGCCTCTAAAACAGCCAGCCCAACATGCCAGCCCTACATGTGCTTTCTGCCTCGAAGCTTAGAAAGCCCCCCTCGTCCAGGTTCTCCTCCAACACGTGCATCAGTGTGTTCTACCGGAGCGGCTTTCAGATAAAACAGACAGACTTTCAGAGGCAGACTCTTTCTTGGCAACTCTTCTTGGCAAAGCATCAAAACAATCCTGTAAGTTGGCTAGCAAGGGGAAGTAGCATCTTTACAAATTAGTAGCTTTGGCATTCTCTCAATGACCCAAAGTATTTATCCATTCTTCCACTCAATATCAAACAGTTGGGGAAGGAAGTATGCAACATAATTAGATAACCATTCCAACAGATCCACCGAGCCAGAGCTCAGCGATCTGACCACCTAACTGAATTAAAAATTAAATATATGCACTTACAGCATATATTTTCCTCTCCAATAGTTACTTGCATCTCTCTAGAACTGCAGTCTGTTACTATTAAACTGGCATCTAATAGTCACACCCCAGTCTGAGCTTTCGGATGCACGGAGTGGAAAACTTCACATCAGTGTTGCTTCCAGATGGGTATCATTTCTAAGACATCTGTGTATCTGATTTCACAGTATGAAATTCAGCTTTCATCTAATCAAGGACTAGACTGACCTCCACGACTTCACATTTTCTTAAGTCAAGGCATCAGTGGAAACATTTATCCAAAGTTTTCTCCCTCATAGTGTAACATCCCATAAACAGTAAGGACATTTACATTAGTAAAATCTGCTTTCATATAAATGTATTATCAACTCATTACAGCCCCAGGTCTGTATTTAGCAACAGTAACTTGATCTGTTCTCATTAATCCCCTTTATAATGCAAATTCTCTGGTCAAAGTTGAAGAATTTATGGATTTACTATTTTGTTAAAGAAAAAAGTGGGGGACACATTTGATAAATCATTTGATAAGTGGCCAGTAACCTAAACACAGCTGATGTCCCATGCTTTACATACATGATAATTAATCTTTACGCTTCTTCCCCCAGGAAATTTGTCAGAATGGTACAAAGTTTACAATGAAAGAAGCTACTCACAGTCTGGTCCTTCCAAATTGAGATATGGTATGTCCATTACTCTCATAAGAAACAGCCTGAAGCAGAATGGAAAAGAACTATTAGCAAATTTCTGCCTGAAGACCTTTCAATAAGCTTTCCTTTTTATAGTTTTTCACGTGTCTGTTCTGGAATTTACCACCCCAAACATATCCTCAACTATATTAAAACAAACAGACCCTTTAATTAAGTCAAATCCATTACCTAACAATTAATATTCAAAATGTTACTTGGTATCATGCTAATAATGTTACTTATTCAAAAAAACAAGGACAAAAAAGCCCCAAACTGTTACTGCTGAAAACAATTAAGACAAGTGGGGAAGTGAACATTTAGCAAGTAGCAGCTCTGTGCAGTAAGAGCCATTGCACAGTGGACAGTGCAAAAGCTGGCATCATTCTAAATACACATAAACTTTCCCAATTTCTGAGCACTGCATCATGCTTTAGACAGAATGGATCCTAAAACCCTAAAACTGCAAAAGCCATCACGACTTCTGTGGAAAATACCAGGAAGAGGCTTTTGCCCTTTAACATGTAACTGAAGAGTTTCTCAAAACATTCAAGAAATGTTTTCAATAAAAGCTCTTATTCAGCTCTGAAACCTATTTCCCTCCAAAATAAGATAAACAGCCTAAAATCCTGTCATAGGTACAGATGCCACATTGTTACAAAACATTTGCTATGTACAGTGTTCACTGGAGGGCTAAAATAAATAACTTCTCCCTCATAACTTTAAAAAGCTTCTAAAATGCTTATCAGATTACAATTACAGTGTTCAACTAAATAATAACTGATGTAAACAGCTGTCAAAAACATTTTAAGTGTACAGACTGACCTGTAATGCCCTACAGATTCTTTGTATCATACCACACTCACCGTTAGTTTCTAAAGGTTTGAATCCTATGTCCTTATGGTTACCTGTGTCCCTGAAAAGTCTACTGGAATGCAGCTGATAACTTGGTTTTGCTATAAATATTCGGGAGAAAGAAAAAAATTCTAACACTGGGGAAAAAAATGGGCTCTATGACAGGTTCACATGTGAGCCAGAGGCTCTTCAGAGAACTGGCACCAGTTATCACACACTGTCCCATCTAATTTCTCCTCCTGAGTCTCAGGGAAGATACAGCACAACGTGCACTATGTCCCTCTGAGCACTGCAGAACCTAAAAGGAACTTTATCAATAAAAATTAGAAACATCTGCATCAATTACTTCAGAAACTTCACCAATTCCAGCACAGCACTGAGTAATGAAAACATTTACAGAAGAAGCCAGAGTTTCTTCCTATGTTTATTAGCCTTTGGTGCCACACTCCTGTAGGCCTGGCCCCATCACAGCTGTCTGTAAACTGAACACCAGTGACACATTGAGAACAGAGCCAGCTTCAAAACACAGATTCCACAAGGAGACAAAGGAAGATATCCTCACTCTGACATATCCAGAGAGATCCAGGGTAATACTGACAGGTAGGTAGCAGCTTTCAGAAAAATAAAAGATGAAGTCTACTAAAAACACAACAAAAACTCCTAGGGAGAACACGAGTTAAACTTCCCTCCCCCAGCTTTTATGATGTTGAGGAAAGAATTACAGTGGCCAACAGCAAGAACAGGCTTATGGCAAAAAAATACATACACCTGAAATTAATGAAGATCAGGTTTTTATCCTCAGAGATAAATCCTACATTTATTTCTTTGGTCAAACAACTACATGGCTAAACAGCACATAAACACAAACACACACTCTCTATAGGATAAATGCTGACTGTAATATTAAGTGCACTTTAAGTATATTACATAAGTAACAGCAGTAACTTACACCACATGGATTGCACATAATGCATAATTAAGTATCCATAACTACAGTTCTAAGATTGGTTATCTATCTGCAGAACATTTAAATTAATAAGGTTGTTCAGTATGACAATGTGAACTCTATATTAAATTAGTTTGATTCATGAAGTTGTAGCTGACATTGATTTTCACTACATTAACTCACATTTATTTAAAAGATATACAGACCAAGCTAAAAAGACAATGTTATTTCCTACAACGTTGAGGGACTGCAGGCAGATCCCACGGTCAGAGGACAGAGACCTATTTCTCAACAGGAACTCTGAGATATTTTGAGGAAGCTTCTTGGAAGACAATTGTTTCTATGGCAAGTCAGGTAAAGTGAGAAGAGGAAGGCTATCATCTGCCACTTCACAGCAGTGCACAAAGAGTCTCAAGGAGCCAGCACTGTTCCTCTGCACTGAGTAGGATGAAGGTGTGTCATGAACTGTGTAGAGAAACGGATTCAGCAGAAAGAAAAGGCATCTTTCTAAACCCAGACCAGTTTACCAGTGAACTGGTACAGCCACATGTGGCTCAAAGCAGAAGAACAGCCGTTGTTTACTCCTGCACTGCAACTGGAAAGTTATTGGTCAAACTGCAGAGAAGCAAACTGATGTTCTTTTGCAATGATTTGGCAAAGAAAATTAACATAGAGAAGCGAAGGGAGAAATGAACTTATTTGCAACACATCAGAGCACCCAACTCCCTGGTGAGACATTTTCCACAAAGACAGCACCAAACCAAGTGATTTCCATAGATTTTGGTTTTCTGATAACCCTTTGTATAAAAAAAATACTTCTAAGATAATTTATATTTCTATAGACCATGATGCTATTCCGCTCAATAAAACATGGTGCTCTCATTTCTCTACACCTCTTTCCCTCACTGCCTCCAGCTACATCAAAATACACAGCATTCAAACAATCCAAAGAGATACAAAAGAACATTGCCATTAAAATTTTGGGAGGGGTTTGCAGATAGGGGCAGGGAAGTGTGGGAGAAGAGAAGAGCTGTCGCCCTAAACCAAACGGTCAAAAAATTTCAAACCAACTCCACAGTACATGACACAAGAACAGTACCCAAATTATACACATAAGAGCTTAGATATTGCAATAAAGAGTCCCATCATCTCAATTCATAAATGTTCCTCAGGGATTACTCACAGCAGACTGTTCACATGAACGTGATTTTTCAAAGATGTTGTATATACAGTAAAGCATAAAGATTACAGATATGCATCTCTGGAATTCTTGGCTTATTGAGTTGTTTATAACTTACTACAATATGCCTAAAAGAGACAAATAACCCTAGGGAAAAGTCTGTTTTTAATCAGTTCTACTCTTACAAAAAACCTGAAACTAAAGATTTTACCTATGTTCATCACTGACCTATAGGAACATTAACCTATGTGCTGGCCACCACTCTTGAACAGCAGGCCAGGAAGTTCCATAACTTTGCTGATATAATGGAAGACATCAAAAATTACTACTGAAAAAACTATTACGTTCCTGTGAAGGCTAAGTTCATAAAAATCAAAGCTTGATTTTTTAGTTTTAAATTTATTCCCCTAATCACACTAGTGACAAGCCTATTGAGCAGGAAACATTTCCAAAACCCTGTCAGCCACACCAGTGGTGTGAAAGTTTAATCACTAAACTGCATTGAAATATTAACACCTTGTATTCAGAGATCTTGAAATGAAGACTTCATGAGCAATCCAAAGATTCATCAAGTAGTCTGCTTTGAAGAACCTTTTCAAGACTATCCTGAGATATGTTCAAGCTGAGAACATTGCTTCTCAATAACTGTCTTATAAGAAGCTCCTCTGTTCAGCTTCTTTCAGGAAAAAACTTTTGTGACATAGGGTATAACTTTCATTTGTTCAGCTTACTGTTCACATGTAGCAGTTTGTGTTTTGCTTGAAGAACATGGCTACAGGTCAAAAGAAAAGGTTTCCTTGTTCTGACTGCTGCCCACAGGATCAGGTAGAACTTCTGGAGGAAGGAGGAAGAGAGTTTTTTTTTTTCTCCCCAGGAGGAAGAGGATGCTCAGCTAGGGAAAGCTTCTAGACCAAACCAGAGACAAGTACATGCAGCAGGAAGCTGGCTGGCAGCTCAGAGCATGCCTGCAAAAAAGCCCCAGAGGCAACAGACTTACCAGGGATCTTTAGATAACTATGGGAAGTGCACAAGCCCTGGATGCACTTACAGGTGCTGGACAGACCAAGTTCTGCCAACAGAGACCTGGTCTGCAAGGACTGATCAGAGCAAAAAGATGTGTTCATTCAAACACCAACAGCTCTGGCTTCTGACATGTACTTAAATCTCTTTTATTTCTTAAAAAATTAAAAAAAATGAGTTGTCTTATTCTGATTTGTTATTTTGCTTCGTAGGAGAAAGAAAACTAGCTCTACAAATCCAAGCTTTGGCCTGCTCACTATAAGGGAAACATGAGACAGTCTCGTCTCTGAGCTCTGACTTGGGTGATGTGGCAGATGTTAGTTAGAACATGACAAAGCTTCTAAAATCATGTGAAAGTAAGACATGGCAAGTCTTCCAAGTTTCCATGATTTAAAAATAATATACAGCCTTTCTGAAACAAGAAGCTGCAAGTTCTGAATAATGACAGAGCGGATAAACATTCCTTTCTTGCAAACAGCAATTTTCAGTTCTTGCTTAAAAAATAAAATAAAAAGAAGCTGATCTCCCTACAATTTCTTGTTAACTTTCCCTTCCCTTACAGTTAGGCAATGTGGACAGTGAAGCCAGAACAGACACAGCAGGCTTCCTCTCAACCCCCTCAAAAATGAAAAGTGACTTTGAAATGTCACTGCTAGAAGAATGTCACATTTCAAATATACAATTAATTTGAAAAGCTTAAATTTAATGTGTTATTGTGACAGTTTTAGAAGTTTGTACTTATTGCAAATATGCATCTCTAGAAAGCATTTTGGTTAATGATTGAAAAATTAACCCCCTCAATTGGCATCTACTGGTTAGCACGTGTGTGTGCTGGTGTTCCTGGAAACAACCTTGTGACAAATCCTATCTTATAATGGAACTGTGCTGATCAATTCTACCTTCACCTTCACCTTCAAATCAAGCAGCCACTGCTGGTCCATGTTCAATCTAAGGAATGTACATACAATTTGTTAACATCTGCTGGAATATATGGAGTTACTGCCTCACATGCCTCAGTGTCAAGAGAACTGCTGGCTTCCAGACCAATGAAAGGTGAGAGCCATTGATCACAATTATTTCCTCATTCCATCTGAAGCTAAAATAATTAATTTTGCCATCTCCTATAGTAGAGGGTTTGAAAGGATGGGATTTCTCCTGAATTTAAAAAATAACCAGACAGACTAAGCACTAGCAGTTTTTTTAATTCAATTCCTTTTCCTTTATGTGACAGATTGTAGTACCCCTAGAAGGTTCCTAAGGTAAAATCTACACATTAAATAGGTAAAGAATCAAATCTGTGTATAATGGCTTTTAGATCTCTCAAGTCTTGCTTCAGTTAGTTCAAGGAGTTTGCATGAAGATCCAATTCAAAGGCCAAACACTCATCACAGCATCATCCCATAAAATCACACATGTATGTTTGTTATGCCTCTTCAAAATGGGTTACCTGACAATGGGGAGACAAATGCTTTGTGTTCTCTGGATTGATATCACAATAGGGATATTTTTCCAGACTCTTTAGTGTACTCACTTTTAAATATCACCACTTTCTGATAGTCCAACAACATAAAGAACACCTGATCAATGTTTCTTTAGTTCCACTACCCCCAAAGTTTACTCCAGAAATAACTTTCTAAATTGTAAACATATCATCAACATGGGCATGGAAAGGCCATTAAAGAAATGCAGGTACTCTCTGAAGTGTCCTTTCACAGCTTAGCAGAAAGTAAACCATCCTCCTCAAAAGAAAAGGTACTGCCTTTACAAACTCTGGCCTCCCTGCAGCATTACCAGCATGAGCCAAAAAACCAATAAAAGTTTAAAGCAAAATGCAGTTAGCCATTGATTCCAAGGCTGGAGACAGATATGCTAAGGACAGTGTTCCATTTCCATGTGTTAGCAGGTCTTTTAATGCAACAACTACTTACTTGTTAAAAAAAGGTTCAATGAGTTTTGATCTGGCAGACACATGGTTTTTCGGAGGAGTGAGGAAGGAACCTGATGAATGAAGAATAAATTCAGTGTGTAATAAGCAGCTCCAGGCAGCACCAAGGAGAAGGTTTGGAAAAGACCACATAGGTACCTAGGAAATTAGCCATAGAAATGAAGCACAGTCCAGTAATGTAGGCATCATATCCTGCTTCGTGGAGTTGTTCAGATGCTGTATCATAACTTGGAAACCCTTCTGCACTTTCTGAGGGGAAAAAAAATCATTTATAAACATGTTAGCAGAGAAGATAAAGGCAGCTCTGTATGCTTACCCACAGGTCAGAGCATAAAATTGTTTGGGGAAGGTTATACAATTTACAGAAGTTCTGAAATTTGTTCAAAAGTCCTTAAAAAAGCAGTTTCGTTTTGCATTTTTAGGTAAGAACAGGTTCCTAGGACAGAAAGACTTTCTTATTAAAAGAGCCATGAATGCCCACACCTACTCAGCCAAAATGGGAGTATGAAGTCTGAGACAATGACTGCAGGATTCCCCACAAAGTGGGTTTTTTTGGACTGACTTTCATTTAAAAGAGCAGAGGAGAACATTTCCAAACTACGAGCAGTTTGATGTATCCTTACCAACTTTAGGAGGGCTGAATGGAACCTCTTTTAAACGCTTTTCCAGTTCTGCAAGTGATGTATTATTAATGATCTCCTGCAAGAAAGCACATCATTAACTGCCAATGCCAAGCACATTTTCCCTGGACACTGAAATCAAATAGGATCAAATGAGTATTTACTGCTGCCACCTTGTGTTCTCTAAGGATTTATACACAGCCCCACTTCAAACTAATGCACCAGAAAGTCAAGACAAGTTCTAAAGTTAACTTGTCCCACCTACAACATAATGAGTCATAAGCATTTATTAATACTTTTCAGAATCACTGACAATGAATTATGCAGATGTTACATTTCTATTTCAGTCTGGTTTCATGCAGGGTACATGTGGCAAGGGAAAAGGCAGCACAAACAGTAGGGAAAAATATCCTCAATATTGATCGTAATGGCTGAAGGCATTCAAGGTGAGTATTGAAATGTGCTTGATGACTGGACACTCTTGAATAGTTTTGTAAGTGTAAGTACTGCTGATTTAAAGTAATACAAAGACAGCCTGACAATCAGAGAGTTGGTCTTACACTTGGGCTTAGCTGAGTTGCATTAGTGAATCTAAATGTGCATAAAAGTCACAAAAATATATTACAGATTAATTCCTTACTGAAATTCTTAATCAAATATATGTTGGCAATCAGTACAATGGAAACATGCAGATCAACAGCAGAGAAAACAGAACATCTCACAGTCTTTCTTACAGTTGTCTGAAATCTCTGAGGACCAAATTTCCTTTGGTTCTAACTCAAGACAGCTGTTTACACTTATCACCAAGTCTGCAGTCTGAAAAGTTATCAAGAACTAAATACAAAGAAGAAGCTGAAATGATGCATTATTTTGGCATCTGGAAGTAGTATCTGATAACAATATCCTAAAACCCAAGCACTGCTGTAGAAATACAAATAACAATGTAACTGTACCAAACCTAAAACTTGTGGAGGATTCTTAGCTTTCAGAATACCAAAGCCTCTATTCTTACTACAGTAGTGTGCAACACAAACCTGACAATTTTTAACATTTTAATAAGACTTTCTGTTATGCAATGCTCCAGAGTCACAGAGGTTTGCACAAAGATGCTGCTTCAGCAGCACGTTTTTTAATTCAAAGGCCCGTGAGAAGGCAAGAGAGCATGAGCACTTATCTCAATACTTACTTAGAACAAAACTCATGCTGCAAGAGGTTTTAAGAGAAACCTGTCATTTTTTTCCTCCTGCTGACTATCCACTGAACATCAGGGCCACAAAAGAACCTAATGATAATCAAGCATTTTTCTAAACAAATCTAAGTCAGCATCCACAGTATTCTAAATATTTGAATATACAAGCAGCTTCCAGACCCTATTTGTTCATAAACAGCACTTTTTTTTTCTCCTGAGGTTGCTGCTATTTTACATGAAGAAAATAATCTACATTTTAACTTGCAAAAACTCTACATATTTTGGAATGTAAAGCTGCCAAGTTACTTTAAAACTTCAAATACAAAAGACAACGGTAGGGAAGTAAAAATCTATACTCCAAAAAATTTGTAAGTTTAAATAAGGTGTAAAGGAAAATCATTCTTCTACAAAAAAAGGAGCATCACAGAAAACATTATTAGACATTTTTCTCTAAAAAGAAATAAAATTTGTTTCAATACACATGAATTAATGCAAGTTTGTATCTTCAAATAATTATATATATTATTAATTAATTTACCTTGAAAGGTTGTGTACTTGCCATCAGTTTAGTATCCAATAACCTAGAAACAAAGTAAGAGCTAAATAAGTTGAAATGGAAGAACGCCCATTTTGCCAAATCCTCAGAAGCCTTTTAGCATATTAGGTGAGAAACAGCAAATACACCTCCTGGAAACTACTCTCGGATCTTAGAACAGCCCAAACATTCCCTGGCTTTGTTCAGCTTGAAAAATGACAGCAACTAAGCAACAGCAAGAGTTGCAAACAACTAATAGCAAATAAACCTTGTTCCAAATGGACATTCAAAACACCAATCATCATGCCAGAAGCAAAGGAACAGCAAAGGTGCATCTCTGCCAAAAAGTAAACCAACTGTACTGTTTTTCTGAGAAAAAAAAAGATGCTCAAGAATACTTTAAAACCTCTATTTATCTAAGTTGATCCCCATTATATTTGCAGTACCAGCTAGTTTACAGGGCTAGGACAAACAGGATCAGCCTGCTAAAACTGTACTAGAACACTTGAAAGTTTGAACTAAGAACTTACCGGGGAAAGACACATGATGTTACTTCCTTGAACTCACTTAGGTCCTAATTCAACATTAAATTGGAAGATAAAATCCAAGTCAGTTAACTGGTTATCAGTCTTGGAATGACAGATAGCAGTAGCTACAATTATCCAAACAGCTTCTAACAGTGAGATACAGTAACTGAATTCTCACCATGTCAGAGATGTATTTGCATTACCATAGATACCACCTGCAATTACACACAACTACAGACTCATTATTTCTGATCTGTCTGTGATTAGCAATAAAATGTTCTATCATTTCCAGTACCCCATCCTATTGTAAGCCTAGACTACCTCTAATTCCAGCTCTGTTAACAGCTCTACTTCAAATGTTCCCAGCATTTAATATTTCAGTGGAATATAAGCAGTCACTCCAGGTACACAGTTGATGCCTACAGGTTTAGATCTGCCAGATGTAAAAAGTACAGCAACAACTGACAGTTGCTGATGTTCCAACACCATCCAAACAGGTCCCAGCTTTCTTTCTCCCATCTCATGATCAAGTCTTTCCCAAAACACCCACAAGCCCTTGAAGTCTGCAAGTAACATAACGTCCTGTGGGCCATCCTTCCAATGAGACCTTTGCCTTCTTGAAAGTTCTTGGTGCCAGTAAATTGCTTAGTTTAAATTAATTGTTGGACTAGTGCAGTGATGAACTGTTAGACTGCCCCTACTGCAGTCAGCAAAGTGTGCTCCCTCCAATTATTCTGACATTGCACCTCCTCACCCCAATGAAATCATCCTGCTACAGGACTTCTTATCGCTCTCTTAGTTCTCTTGTATGAAAATACACATTCCCATTTATCAAACTACAGGGGGGAAATACCACATAGTTATGCTGAAGCTCCAAACCAGTTTTTTAACATGTCTGTCAGTTAAACATATCTGCCATCATCCAAGCAGTTTTGTGAAGGACTAATAGATACAAGCAAAAACCACACTTTCAATGTTTAATTTGAACATTTTAAGAATGTAAAGGAGAAGAATTCAATTCAACTAAGCTTTCTACATAAAGATTTAAGAAAACAAGTAAAATAGGCTTTTTAAAAATACTTTTCTGTACTTCTTAATAGACTGATCAATACTTCCATTCACAAGAAAGTGTGGAGATAAGACTAAAAGACAAATACATTAAGGGACTCATTTCATCATCTGAACACTCAAAAGACTACTTACATCAGGCAGGGGACAATAGAACTGATGTATGGTGTGCATGACATCCAGCAGCATATTGTGCCCAATAACCAGCTTGCCCTGTGAAAAGAACATTAAATGTTGGTTGCACTTCCAGCCATGGCCATGGCAAAGGCAATATGTGAAAAGCACCTGATGTTTGCCAAGGGCAGCTGGGAACAAAGACAAATCAAACCTCCCCATTTGCTCTCTGCCTGCCCCACACACTCCTCCATTCTCTCAGAGCACTCACTCCTTTTTCCTCTACTCCCAACCATTTATCACAGCCTTCAGCAGCAGCTTCAAATGTGGAGAAGATGCACTAGAACAGATACTTACAATTTGGTTTCCAAATGTAATCTATTTAGGGTTGAAGTCAAGTAATTTCTCAGTCCATTACCTTTTAATTTACAACAACTCACAATATATTCCTCATGGTTATAATATATGAGAGTTATTAGGGGCTTCTCACAGTGCAGAACCTTTCAGGCCAGATGCTGTAGAAGCAAGCTCCTTCTTAAAGAAGTACAAGAAATTTTTTAAATGTTAACTTTGATACATTTTACACAACTGTCCTTCTCTGATTAGCCTTTAACTGCCAGGAAAAAAAAAAGGAAAAAAATCTCCCAGCAACAATCTTTTCAGAACAAAGAATTTGTTCAAAGCCTATTTACTGAAGAGCCCTTAGAAGTTGGTACTGTTGACTCTTACAGGTAATGAGATTGTTCATGTCATGTATTATTTTAAAAGCTTAGTTAACCTACCACACTCAATCATTATAAAACATGAAGTAACATCAACTTACAAAGTCCCTTTAACTTGTATTTAATTCTATCTTCCAAAATGTAACAGCAAAAGAATTCTTTCTTTAAATTATTTATTTTTTCTTGCAAACAAAGGCATATTAAAAATCATGCTAACTTACAGAATTAGCAATGGCATGAACAACTCTGGAAAATCCTACTGCATCATTCAATTCTTCCTGTAAGGAAAGATTCTGACATTAGTGAAACATAAACACAAATATTGCAAAAACTGTACCTGCAAACTGTTTCTCAGACATAACCAAGAACAGACCACAGAGGAAACATCAAAAGCAGGATGCTGCTGACAGAACTCCAGTGTGATGTGTAGCTCTACTTCACTGTCAAGTAGGACGAGTCACAAGCTCTTGTAGTGGTTGCCCCTGGCCAGGGGCAAAAGCCACTCTGCCTTTTGTTCACTCCCCTCACCCAAAATTCCAAGGCAGGCATTAAGACTTGTGGATAAAGACAATGAGAGCCCACCCTCCAGGCCTCCTTGCTTTTGGGGAAGGGTGGAAAAGAAAATCTTGACACTGTGCAAGTGCTGCCCAGCACAGACAAAACACCTGTATGGTATCACTGCTGGTTTAGCCACAAGTGCACAGCACAGCAACATACAGCTGCTACAAAGGGTAACTTCATCCTCCCCAGAGCAGTGACAACTGCAGTCAGCTCACTGTCAGTACAGATCTTTAACAGTGCTCACCTGCTCTCAGACTGCAAACAGCTCAACAAGATATTAAAATTAAGCTGTATATCTTCACCCACATTTTTAACATATATTGTTATATATGCAACAGGTTGGATCCTGACTGTTATTTCTATTCAATCAGGTTGTACTTTTATGCCAACACTGAGGTTGGGGAAGAAACATTTTTCACTATTTACATAAACAAACCAAGAAGAAACATTATACAACTACAATATTATACAAACACAATATTACATAATGAGAGTTACACATTTCAAACTGGTTTCGGGGGGAATCTGACTACAGCACCTATTTTAGTTTCACTTAAGGAATTTTTTTGTAACAGATTTTTCTTTTTCAGGTCTAGGGAAGTAATTTCTGCCTTGCTTTGTTCATTTTTATCCAACCAGAAGTGAAATTCAATAAAACATTCACTGTTATTTCTGTTCAGCTCTGAATGCCTCTAGTCAGAGTGAGTAATAGCCCCATTAAGAATGCCTCAGAAAAATCTACTTTGGTAGTAAATTGTCCCTAACTTGCCTTCTGGAAAAACAGAAGTCACATTAGTTGATGTCTCTGTTAGATATCTTTTTTCCTCCTAAAAGGCATTCTGCATGCAAATATTACTTGCTTCACCCAAACTTATGTATCTTGAAATACATAAGGACAAATCACAGGAGTCTGACCAAGAATTCCCACAGTTCAAGTCCTGCGACCTCCCGAAACCTGCCTCAGACTCAGTAAGCAAAATCCAAAGTCCCATAAACAATGAGAGTGCCTGAATACACCAGGCATGACCTTGTGTTCAGCTTGTTACCACAGCAGTCCCTGCAGCACATGTTTCTATGGAGAAATGACACAGGAATTGCAGAGGACATTGTACTGACAACCAAGAGCAATCAAGCTTTGTAACAGAACAGCCAGGACAGACTGTGAATGCAAACAATGTGACAACTTGCTCAAGAATTTCTGCAAGAAACTGATGTTTCCTATTCCTAGGCCACACTCCTCTGACAGAGCAGATTCACAGGAGGCATTCGCTGCTCCAGAACATTGGTTCAGTATTCCACAATTTCTCATTTCATTTTCTAGAGTGCCTTGCAGCTCTTCCAGCTTTACTGCAAAGCCTAAGTTATCTGGTAGAATTTGGAAGATGAGTTTCAGAAACATTACCAAATCCTAGCACACAACTTTGCATTGCTGACTGAAGGCAGAGATTCTCCCCCTCCTTCTTTCACACAAATGAATGAAATGCAACTTATTTACCTGTTCTTTTGCTTGTTTCTGCTGTTCTCTTCTTTTTCGTTCCTCTTCATCTACCTTACTAATAACAATATATCTCTCCTTCTAAAACAGAAAATGTATAGTTTGAGGAATGACTCTGAGAAGCTCTTATTTAAGTTTCTGTAAATTTACATTGTAAAGAAAACTGTCACCTCAGCAGCAGTTACTTGGCAACACAACTGTTTCTATTGTAGGCACCACTTTATCACCTACTCCCAAAAGCCTACTTTAGAAAGCCGTATTACATTCATCCACCCAACCTAACTTTCACTAAACCCACTTTTTCATTCTCAGGAAAGGTTACCAGTATGTCCTTGTAAATAGCTTATTTCAAATATCTTTTGGAGCAGGGATTTTTGCTGGGAGGTGAGGACAACAACAGCATGTGATGCCACTGTTTTTCCTCTAAGATCACAATCTACATTTCACCAACACTGAACATCAGATATATCTAAGATACCTCTTAAAATACCTTTCAGTATAAAGGAATAATATTAAGCCACACAAATACATGCTGATACTCCATATGATGGTCAGATTCAATATTTAGAAATAAGTTCACTGTATTCCACCTAGAATGTTTTGCATTCGCATAACAAGGCTCAAGTTATATCTAAAAGTCAGGAGATTTGGTAAAATTGAGAAACACAATTTCCTTCAAAGAGAACAAATGTTAGAGGCCTAGTTACCTTATCTGACTCCAGAGTTTCAACATGAATACCTTTTGGATACCTACATCAAAACAAATGAAAAGTAAATATAAGTAACTATTAATTTGGCATTTAGCAAATTGAAACCACAACAGTGATTCAGTAATTTCATGTTTCATTATTACTATAAGTCTTAAGTGTAAAAGAACTATTGAAAGTTTCTTTTTAATCTAAAATAATGGAAAATCTGAAGCAACAGGCTAATTTGATTGGCCTCCTTACATTACCTAAGAGTAACTAGCACTAGAATATATTATCTTATGCAACTTCCCATCCTACTGCTGTGGGACCTCCACCTTCTTATTTTAGTAATATTAAGTAAACATCATGTAGATATTTCATCACAATCTACAGTCTCTGCTTTCAAGAAATCCAAACCAAAGATACTGGTGAGAATGCTCTCATTTGCTTGCAGCCACAGGACAGCTTCTTTGGAGCCTGCATTGCCTTTAATACATCACTTATTTTAGGATTTATAAACAACCCTGAACTTTCTGCTAACAGGAGACTCCAATGGGAATTATTAACTCAAATGTCACTACCTCTGCTTCAGGGTTGCATCACTCAATCACATTTCATTTCCAGAGTACCACCATACCCACAGCCACAGAATCCAACTGATAGCAAAGTAAGAGAATAACGTCTTTTACCACTTAACCGGTAATTTTACTGCCTAAGCAGCAATTACTCTCATTTTCCCATCATAATAAACTAACCACAACTGTACAACCACTGCAGAACCAGCATGTTTCCTTGTCCTCTGGCTATTCCTAAAATGAGCCCTGGAGAGCACATACCCAAGCACTGCTGTGTCCTCTCCTCCCTGACTCCTCACAGGCTTTGGAGCCTACACCTCCCTCACAAGCTGCCTCTTGTCACAAACCTCGGATGCATCCCCACACTGATGCACAAGAGAACACTTCAGCAGAGAAAATGACCTGTGAAGAGTTCAGGACACAAGGGCAATCAACATCCTCAGTGTTTTCTGCTTTAATTATCTCCACGTTCACTTCCCAGCTTGGCTTTGTCTCCCCAGAACACACAGGGCCACAGCTGTGCTCATGGGAAGCAACACTGCAGCATGTTACAAACTGCAGCTCAAGAACACCTCCTTCCAGCCACTGAGAGCAGATGCAAAGCTAAGTGTCAGACAAATAGAACACTGTGTGCTACTGGAAGCTATAGATATTCTATCCAGGCATTAAAAAACTCACACTGAAAAATTCTTAAATGCACCTCTCAGATTAGTTCTCAAGCTCCCTTCTTGAGATTCCATTTTACAGAGAGAAGCTTTATTTTATCCACTTCCAGCATAAACAACAGAGGATCAGATTCAGTGCTGCAACACTGAATTAGCTAAATGTACAAAAAATGCCTTCTACTGTATTTCCCACATTTTACAACTGCAGTCAGAACAATGAAAATCTTACTTTACAGCCTTAGTGCTTCTCCCAAGGCCTTAAGGGATATTTTTAAGCAATATAATAAGTTATCAAAAATGCTTATGCTTGACATCTAACAGAAAACTATAAACATATCAGTACCTCCTATAGAACTCCTAGTTTTTCAGGTAAAGCCCACAATCTGTATAAGCACATGCACTTTCTGTTCACTAAAAACCTGGCAAGTTGCATTTGTCACATAATTCTAGGCTGTGCTGTTCTATTCAGACATTTCAGTTAGGAATAATAAAACAAATACTAAGCTTTAAAATATTCAAGTGAATCATCACAAATAAGTTCTTCAGAACATTATAAAAGTCTTCTTTTAAAGGACAAAACAGTGTCTAAATGAATCACCCCAAGATTAAGTAGATCAGATCTTACCCAGATTTCTTATCAAAAATACTAAAAATATACAGTAAGGCAGTATTACCAGCAACTTACTTCCAGCTCAAGGTCTGATAAATTAATTTCCTTTGAAATCTAAAATCAAAAGACAATTTTGTTACTAATAATCCTCTTATAGAGTGTTTCCAAGTAATGATATTCAGTTAAAGCTGACTTCATGTTCATTTGCAGAAAGATTTTTAAAGCAAAAGTCACTGCCACCAGAACCTAGAGACTCAGTTGGGTTTTACTGAATTCTGATGTCCAGTCCCCAAGCTGCAAAGGCATTTACACCATTTTGTACAGTTACCCACAGATGATCTCATAAGAAAATATTCTGTAGCTATGATCACTCCATACAGATACAGTGATGATACCTTACCTCATCTCACAATGTTCTGCTATTTCTAAATTCAATTTTTTTTAATTTTTTAAACAACCATACTCTCCAAACATCCAGACCCCAAAGGTAAATAAATTTTTGAGAAGGAGACCTAATAAAAAACAGTAACACACTGTCAACTACAAACAACTAACAGTCCAACAGATTTGAAAAGTTTATTTTTAAAATGCATATCCAAGGCTTATGGAAAACTTCAGCAATAGCAAGAGGAGGCCCATACATACAAGACATTTTCTGGCTGTACTTAAATATGTTGCCACTACGTGCAGAAGTTACAGCTCACACAGCAAACTATGACACCCATATACAGAGGTACATTTTTTCAACATACAAAAATCGATCAAATGTAAATTTTACTACAGTCAACCCAAGTAAAGACAGTCTTCCTTGTCACTCCCCTAATTCTGTATGACCAAACAACAAATATTTTTAGAAGATATGCAACTTCAGAAACTCACCCTGTACATGGCTCCAGTTCCAAACTTTCACTTTCTTCATTCTTTAATAAGTCTTCTATCTGTTCCCTGGAGGAAATAATTATTTGCTTCTATATCTACTGTTTTATTTTTTTGAAGTTTACAGCTCTCCCCAAAAGACAAGAAAACACTTCAAAACAAAAAGAGCAGCATTTTAAAACCAGTGAACTAATAAAAATGGCTTCAACATACAAAAATACCACTACAGTTCACATTTTAGCTTCAACAACATCAGAGGATATGAAACAATTTAACTTACACTACTTTCTCAATAAATTTTTTCTGATCTTCGGGAATTGTTACAGGACACTTTGTGGAATTAGGAGAAATGTATGACAGAGATCCTGCACCGTTGGCTTGGGAACGCTTTTCATCATACTGTTCCCTTAGCTGTCTTTCTTCTTCCTGGTTTAAATATGGAATTCCTAACAAAAAGAAAAAAAAAGTAAAAGCTCATCATAATTACAGACAAATTAGGGATGTGTAGGGATTCAGCAAAGACTTATCACTAACCAAGCATCTGCCACTCTTACAGCCCTGAAGGCTGAAAACAAACCCTTCCTTTCAGTCCTCTGTCCCACATGCCACTGGTTCTCTGTGTCTACCCAGGCTTCCCTCCAGCACATGCCACACTAGCTGCTACCACTGCACAGGGAAGGAGCCCAAGGACTGCAGAGCCACAGGTCCCAACCACAGCAATATTTAGCCCTCCTCTCCCTTGCTCCCTGCATCACCTGAATCCCAGACTGCAGCAGCACCCTTACAGTGCACTGATACCCTTCCTAAAACATGACTTCTGATTCATTACTATGGATCTCTCCATTCATGCTTTGCCACTGGACAACAAGAAACAACCAAACCCTCCTCTGAGCAGGAATTCCATTCTGTTGAACCCATACAATGAATTCCTGGAAAGGAATTACTACCAGCACAACAGTAAAAGAGATAAAAATAACTCAAGAACTTCACTGTGTGTTAAGAGATTATCATGAATAGCAGCCTTTTTTCTTCTTGCAGAACACAATGAAAGGTGTCATCATAAATATTGCAGACATTGAAAGAAATATTAAAAAAACCCAAACAACTCACCGTTGCGAAAAACTTTATTAAAATCAAATCCTTGGTTTGCTAAAAAATCTATACTTGAACTCTGCAACAAAAGAAAAAGACTTTACATTTGGAAAAGGAGCTGAGGCATAAAAGATCAATTCGGTTATTTTCACACTTTTTAAGAAATTATACAAAGTCCAAAGTCAAGAGCAACAACATTTTTTACCCTAAACAAGAATTCAGGCAATATTACTTTTGTTATTTATTTTGAACTTTCATAGAACAATAAATATCCTAAGGGATAGAGATGAAAGAATAAACTACGTGGAGAGAGGAAACTAAAGAAAGCAAAATGTTCAGGAGAACAAATCTGAGACAGGAAAAATGCTGGCAATAGCCTGGGAAGAAGTAAAAGTAAGACGAGCAGATGAGAATATAGGATAAAACAGGAAAAGGGAACACAAAGTCCAATGAGAAAAGGGAAAAAATTAGAATTATCTTGCCAGGTTTGGAACATTATCTCCAATTCCAGAAACCACACAATGTAATACATAACAAGATTTAAAAACTGAAGTCAAAGATATTGCCTTAAAGCTCATTTTTAGGGATTGCTCTTAACTGATGTTTATTTCTCTTATAAGAAAAAAATCAAAACCAAACCCCAGAAACTTCTATTTTTCCACCTTTTAAGGTGAAGTTTGCTGCAGGTATACCTTAACCAAACAAAATCAAACTTGTTTTTTCTACTAACCTGACAGACAAACTTGACATCTGGTGAATTTCTGTTAAAGGGTTTTGGAAAAATATAGAAATTAAATGACTTCATTATATACCTGTGGAGAAGATGAGTTGCATGTCAATAGAGCTTATCAGTATCACTTTAGAAAATCCTCAATTAAGAAAACAAGAAATAAGAGAATGACATACTTTTCTTCTGTGTCACCATATTTAAAAGTGCAAAGGCCAAACTGAAAGAGCAAAAAATCCATGGAATGCTGGAAAGGAAAGGAAAACTTTGCATGAGAATAAAACCTGTACACATTTAAAGATTACCAGGGTGCATCCACATATGACTTCTCTCCGTTTCAAAATTAAGTAAACTGAATCTTCTTAACCAACGTTTGTTTCGCTGGTAATTTTAAAATAAGCACACTAGAGTTTTTCAACTAGTTTTCATCTGCATTTAATCATCTTGCTGTTGCCCAAAGATGATTTGTAGTATGCACTTCTACTCCATAAACAGACAAGAACTGAGGGAAGTCCCATCTCCCTCTCCACCTGTTGCTCAAGCACAGGACATGCTGCACCCAAAGCAGCTCTCAGTCCTTCTCAATGTTCATTTACATTCCCTACAGTGTGCCAGGAGTTTTCAAATACGTGTAACAACACATTTAATATTCTTCTAACCCACATGGCTTACACCGGATACAGGCATTCAAAACTAGCCCTCTTGAACATAAAGATCAAAAATATCAATTTATCAAGTTATTCGATGTTAAAGGTAAAGCTTTAAGAAGGTGACGACAAAGAATTTGGGTCTGCCTTCTGATACAACAGACTTCTTAAAATGCTAACAGAGACTGACTGTGCCTGCAGGGCCTGAATTGATGAAGCTTATCCTCACTGAATTCCTCTCACCCAATCCCCCTTTGAACTCATAAATGTTAACACTCTCAACATCCTTTAACAAGTTCTACACCTTTGCTCATTCTTGTGTGAGGAATCATTTCTGTCTGTTCTGACCATGAGTTCTGCAAGTTTAATGCAACATTCAATTGTGTTACTAGAAAACAAAACAAGCAAATCCCATCTGCTGCCTGGAACTCAGTTTTAGACCCATGACATACTTCCCTGTGTTGTCTCCACGATGAACTAAGGCATTCTAACCTTTTTCCAGAATTTTCCTTTCAGTCAGTGTAAACACTTTACCTTTTTAAGTTTTTGATACCTTTCTTCTGGAGTGTCAAAGCCATTTGTTAATGCACTAACAGAAGGCCCATCACTGATCCCTGAAAAAGTAGAACATAGTTTGCTTTGGGTAAGCTTTTCAAAATTAGCCACAGCAAAGAAATGCAACAACTGATAATTTAAGAAAAATGGTTTCACTTAATGTTACAATTATTTCAGTTCAGAAGGATTTTCTACTGCATAAAAGCCACCCATTTTAACAGTAGTGTTCCAGCAGCAAAGCTCTTCTGCAGAAGTTCTGCTGTTCTGGTTCCTATTCAACGTGTCAGTAACAGGCAAAGACCCTCCATAAAATAACGAAGATGGGCTTTACAGCACAGTGCAGGATCAAAGCCAAACTAAAAATGGGAAGAGTGCTGCCCAGGGATTTACAAAATGACTTAGCCACTTTAAACAATACACAATAAACAATATTTCCATAAGCACCACATCTAACAAAACCAAGTTTTGATCACATTCATGGCTCAAGATCCACATGGATCATGTTTCATGGATGACTGAACTCTACATCCCAAAACCGAAGTACTCATTAAAGCATCTCTGTGACACACACACCCTCTGGATTTTACAAACATACAAGTTCTTAGTGCTGCCCTTCCCTATCCAAATACTTGCAAGGCCTTTCTCATTTATCTGAATCTTTCACTTATAAAGGTATCACATGTAATACCTTCTTTTTCCCCCTCAGCTGCAACTGAAAATCAATTAACACATTGAAAGATTGCTGCGGGGAGGGAGTAGAGGCAGCATTAGCATGACAAGTATCTTTGACCAAAACCTTGTTATCGCAGACATAACGAGTAGTTTGATCACTTTGCAGTAGCCTCAGCTTTAGCTTTTTCAAGTCAACACTGAGACAGCGAACTGGGGCACGGGGACACCCCCACAGACATTGCCAACAGCTCACAACCACAAAACCAGCACGACCGTACCTGAAAACTCCCCATCGATGGCCAGGAAGTCTGACTCTTCAATGGCTTCATACACTTTGTTTAGGTTATCCTTAAAATCTGCGGGGAAAGGGGTAAAACGCACCTGAGGTTACGCACCACACCCCGGGGCAGCCCGGCGCCCCTCGGGCCCCCTCAGCCCCGGGGCCGCGCCTCCCGCCTCGGGGCCGCCCCTCACGGGGCAGGGGAGGTGCGGGGACCCCCTTCGCCACGAAGGAGAGGCCGAGCCCGGGGCAGGGAAGCCGGCAGGGCTCGGCTCAGGGGTGGGGTGTCGCTCCGGGCGGTCACTCACTGCTCCTGGTCACCTCCATCCCGCGCCCGCCGCAGCCCGGCCCGGCCCCGCCGAGCGCTTCCGGGGCCGCCCCGCGCGCCGCACGTGAGCGCGCACGTGAGCGCGCCCGGCCGCCATTTCCTGCCGGGGCGGCGCCCTCAGGGCACGGAGCGCTCTGCGCTGCCCCGGGGCAGGTGCTGTGCTCTGTCCGTCCTGCCCCGCACCCAGCACGGACACGGCTGCCTTCGCTGCTCTGCCGGGCTGTTCGGGCTGCAAGGGGCCCTCAGCCGCCGGCCGTGCCCGCCGCGGCAGCGGAGCGGCTGTAGCGGCGCTGCCCAGGGAAGGAAGGCGTCCCACCCCGCCGCTCTCCCGTGGGGCGTTGTGAGATGTCACGGCCCACAAAGCGCTCGCCTTTCAGCCCAGAAATGCGTAACTAGCACCAGGAAGGAAGAAGGGATGGGAATCTGCTGAGGAGACACCAGGAGAGATGCTGGTGGTGGTGGTGCCTTAACGATGTCAAGTCCGGAGGAACTGGAAGGCTTGGCGTGTTACGGAAGAAGCGTTCGCCTTCCTGGTAAAACCAGCACTTTCACACGTAATTGTATAATAGCAAACGTTCTGTCCCCGCAGCAGCGCTGTGGGAGGAGGAGCTGCCCAGGGGCCAGGGCAGGAGCCGTGGGCACGGACACCGTGAGAGTTTAGAGAATGGGCTGCAGGGTTAAAGCTCACACGGCACAGGAAGCGTCTTTTCCAGAATCCCAGCAGAATGAAAACAAATGGAAAAGTCTCCGTTAATTGAGAGGCAGTTTCGGCATAGAGAAGAAGATAAAGAATTACACCAGACTTAGCGGAGAGAGCTTTTAAAGATTCAAGATTAAGTTTTGCCTTCTCAGTGTAAGCAATTTATTCTACACGCAGTCCCAGTAAGTCATCCAGGATGATTAAATAGTGCCCAGTAAGGCGTTAGTTAAAATAATAGTAGAGATGTTTCTATTTTACAGTAAATTGGCTGAAGCCTAAAATTTTCATGTTACTCCTCAATTTTTTAACATACATTCCTGCAGTTTCTCGTTAAAGTGCTCATGGCACTTTAAAGTGGTTGATGGCTGTCATTTCCCACCAAATCCAGGAATTCCTAACTGACAGATCCAGGAACTCTTTGCTTCTTTCATCTGTAAAATAAACACCAAGTAGTTAGAACTGACCCCAGAGTCCAACCTGGCTGCAGCCTCCTTTCAGGTGGTTGTACAGAATGAATCACTCGTTTTTCTTCGGACTCAGTCAAAAAGAATTGCGGTAAGGGAACAGAGATTGATATATAAATAATAGCGAATGTGTGTCTCTGTAGATACACTCTCTTGTGTCTCTGCTAACACGGACGGCCCGGTAGGGCGGCTGTGTAGTTACCGCACCGGGGGCAGTGCCGGGGCGGGCCCGGCTCCTGCTGGGAACGGGGCTGGGAACGGGGTACGGCGGGGCTGGGAACGGGGCACCCCGGGGCTGCCACCACGGCCAGGGCTGAGGGTCGGGCTCGGCCCAGCCCTGCTCTGCCCTGCCCTGCCCTGCCCAGCGCAGGAAACGCGGCGGAGGAAGCGGCGCGGGGGGCAGGAAGGCGGAGCTGGAAAGAGGAGGCAGGAGAGGAGCCAGAAATCGTCCTGCTGCTGGGTCTTAATTTGGTGGAGACTGGGCGGCGAAATATTTTTCCACCCACGGAAATCCTGCTGGCTCTGCCTTCTGGGAAAACTAGAAGAATGCTTTTAAGTGCAAAACCTTGGTTTTTATTTCTCCTCCTGTAGGTGCTGTTTCAGGTTTGTGTTTTAGAAAGCCGACGGTCCGCGCTCTGCCGGGAAATACAGGTTTGTAAGCGGTCTGAGGATTCTGGTTTCACTGTTGTTTCTGTACTTTATTGTTGTTTCGTTTGGGTTTTTTTTTCATTTCCGTTCTTTACCGGCTTGCGTGCTTACCTCTTTGTGCTTGATCTGGTGCTTGATAGGTAATTTGGTAGCAAGCAGGAGCCACATAATTGAGAGTGTAGTCATATTTTGGTTTAGTAGTACCTGAGGAGAAAATTGTGTCGGTTTTGGTATCTTCTGACATATCACGAGTGATGAGTGAGTGATCTGAATTAGTGTTTTTCTTAAGAAACTAGATACTGCCATCTGAGAGAATGGAATAGGAACATCAAGCAAATAGATTTGTATCTTTGGTAAGCTTGGAACAGTCTTAGACTCTTCTCATCTGTGTGTTTTGTGAAATACTAACGAAGTATAACTGTCAGTAAAGTTAATGCAGGGCTCAGACCTTCACTGAAGTGGAAGCAGGTCTATCCCTTGTAATTCTGAAACATGTGACTTTGTGGATCAAACTTTTCTTCTTTTTAACATCAGCCAGCAATGTCTAGCATTGACTTTTGTAAGTAATGTTTTATTCTGTATGCTTGGAAGGAAGAAGGATGAAGTAAATTAGAGCCTTATGTTATACTGGTGTTTTATCTTTGAAAATACCATCTCTGATGGTATTTTCTAATTATATTTCTTTTGATTGGTGTCTTTTAGTAAAACCTTGATTAAAGATAGTCAAGTCATGTGGGTCAGTGAGTTACTTTGTTTCACTTTCATGTGTTTCATAACAGAGGAGAAGAAAGTAGAGGGAGATTAAACCCAGCTGTTTACATCTAGAATCTGGTTTTGATTGTAATTTGCAATGAATATGTTGTTGAAAAAGTAGATCATGTTTCATTTTGGGAGTGGGCTGTGTTGCTCAGAAGGTTTAAAACCATCCCAATGGCAAAAGCAGTGCCACGAGAAATTACACTGCTTACCATCCTAAACTTCTATCAGAACTTTTTTCTTAATGAGGTTTATTTTGTTGCTTTGCAGAGGTAATGCCGTACGTGGTTTGAAGATCTGAGAGGGCTTCCCGTTTACGTGAGGCATAAAAGAAAATGGAAGAAGATGAGACTTTACAAGGGGAAAGGGAGAGGGCAGAAGGTGAAACAGGTGCTACTGCTGACGTGAGTGGGCAGCTCTCAGTCAGTGAGTTCCTTTGCCACTGCTGTTACGACATCCTGGTCGATCCCACCACCCTGAACTGTGGCCACAGTTTCTGTAGGCATTGCCTGGCCTTGTGGTGGGTGTCGTCCAAGAAGAACGAGTGCCCCGAATGCAGAGTAAAATGGGAAGGGTTCCCCAAAGTCAACATCCTGCTCAGGTGAGTGTACTCTTTTGTGAATGCCATTTTCGGATAAATCAAACCACTGAAATTAGCTGGCTGATTTCTTGAGTTTCTCAGGATTTTGTAGCTTATTGGTAATCTGAACTGTTGCAAGGACATTTAAATCCCAAAGGCTTTCATGTTCTGCGCTTGCACTGAACTGTTCAAGCCCATTTTTCTGCATGGAACTAAGGGGTGTGTTGGTTGATTTTGTTTGGGGGGCTGGAGTGGGGGAGGTTTCTTCTGAATTTTTTTGGGAGATGGAGAGGAGGGATCCTTTTTTAGTATTGAGACCCTTGAATCTTTTAATATGGTTGTTTTCTAATAATTGTAAGTTAGATTGATCTTTGATAATTGTGTAGTTATTTCTGTAATAGGAATTATTTATAGGAAGAAATGTGATCATATTGCAGAACAAAGCTAGAAATATGTTTGTTTTGAATTACCCACAACTTCTTTTGTGAATAATACTCTATCTGGGTTAATAATATTTTAATAATTAGATGGTAGGATTGGGGGTAGGCTCTTATGTTGTCTTTTACCATTTTTTAGTAATTTTGCCAGTAGCACCCAGAATTCTAATTTTACATAAGAAATATATATGGGAGGAATTACATAGTATTTTAACTTTAGAAGCTAAGCAAAACATTGTTTGGAAGTAATTGATAAAAGTTTAAGTTTCCTAAGTATTAATAACTAATTTTTCATTGCTTTCAAAGATGATAGTCTACAATTGAGGCTGGAAAACAAAAATCCAAAAATTAGTCCCTTTTCTGAATATGAACCCTGAATGGTTTTGGTACAATGACAAATATTTTTCCCATTAGGGATGTTATTGAAAAGCTATTTTCTGATGCCATTGAACAAAGAAAAGAAGATATTCAACAAAACAGTGATGTAGCACGCAGCTTAGCAGCCTTCCAACAATATGGGACTGACCAGATCCCTACAGTTCCGAACACAGGAAGATTTAATCCTCGAGGAGGAGGGTTTTTCTCAGGCGTTCTGACAGCTTTAACTTGTGTAGCAGTAAGTTTCACCTGCTCGGTTTTCCATATTTCCTTCATTTAGCATGCAATTGAATCTTCTTAAACTTGTCAGCACAGAAGAGCCTTCAGCTGAGCAGAGTGGCCTTCAGAGGTCTGTCAGGAACTACAGCTGCAATGTAGTTTAGATGGAAGTTAGGCAAAGTGGGGGAAACTTCCAGATACTTTTTTATAACCTGAATATTCTAGGGCCCATGAAGTGGAAAATTCTACATGCCAAGCCTCTTATTGCATGTTTATCATTAATGTATTTGCTTTACAGGTAAAAGATGAGGGGTTTTTATCTTTTTAATCCACCCATAGGTAGTTCTACTTGGCTATCACTGGAGTAGCAGAGAATTTGAAGAAGATCATCTTGTCCACAAGCCTGTTGCTAGATGGACTGCTGAGGAAGTGATCCTCTGGCTGGAGCAGCTGGGCCCATGGGCTTCACATTACAAAGAAAGGTTTTTACTGGAGAAAGTGAATGGAAGGTGAGGGGCCTGATGGCCAAGAACAACTGTCGTGTGTTGGGATTGCTGACAGATTCATTAGGGATGCTTGAGGGGAAATGACTGTACTGTGTTCCATGGATTGTGGGAATATTCTGTAAGGTACCAGAATACATTATAGGGGAAGTTATAACAATTTTTGGTGAAAACTTGAGTAGTAGATACAAAGCAAGCTACTTGAAAATGTCCTAAGAACTTCTTAAATTGCTGACAATGCAGACTGAAATGATACTGAGAGTAAAATTCTGCTTGTGTGTTATCCACCCCTCCCAGCTTCCCTTTCATTTGGAAGTATCCATGTGCATCGTTGCATTCCACCTAAGAGAAATGCTGAAAGCAGGCGAGAGGAAACTGGAAAAGAAGTATTTAA